GAGAGTGACCCAAGTGTGCAACAACAGATAAATGGATAAAGAAAATATGGTATATACATACAATCGAATAGTATTCAGCCTTAAAAAGAAAGGAAGGCTGGGTGCAGCGGCTCATGCCTGTAATCCCAGCACTTTGGGAGGCCGAGGTGGGCAGATCACCTGAGATCGGGAGTTCAAGACCAGCCTGACCAACAAGGAGAAACTCTGTCTCTAATAACAATACAAAATTAGCCAGGCATGGTGGCACATGCCTGTAATCCAAGCTACTCGGGAGGCTGAGACAGGAGAATTGCTTGAACCCGGGAGGCGAGGGTTGCAGTGAGCCAAGATTGTGGCATTGCACTTCTGCCGGGGCAAAAAAAGTGAAACTCAATCTCAAAAAAGGAAAGAAAGAAAGGAAATTCTGTCATATTCTACACCATAGATTAACTTTGAGGACACCATACTATGTGAACTAAACCAATCACAAAAAGACAAACACAGCATGATTCAACTTACATAAGATATCTAAAGTAATTCAACTCATAGAAACAGAAAAAAATACCCAAAAGTGTTTTCTGGACAGATACATTCTCATTCTCAGTACAAATCTATGTATGTATATATATTTACATGTACAATATATTTACATGTATGTATATAGATGGACAGATATACAAATTGATAATCTCTTATTCACTTTAGTCCTATAACCAGAATCTTAATCAGGAACCTCTAGAGGCGTTTTCTCCAAGATCAAGTACAAAACAGGATGCCCACTCTATCTCCAGCAACCACTCAAGATTATCCTAGAGGTATTAGCAATGCAGTTAAACATGATAAATAAATCAGGTAGAGGCGTAACAACTGGTAAAGAAGTAGAACTATCTCTATTTACAGATGACATAACAGTATGTGTAGAATTGAATGAGGCAAGAGGACATAAAATTAATGTACAAAAATCAAGCTTCCCTATTCCCAAACAATAAGAGGTAGAGGATATAATGATAGAGAAAACCCCTCTCTTACAATAGCAACACAGAAAATTAGATGACTTGGGAATAAACTTAAGAAGATCCATGTAAAAATCTATATACGGAAAACTTTACACACATTGAAAATGAACTTGAAGAACTGGAAAGGCATTCCCATTTCTAGCACAGGATGACCTAACATCTGTTTTCCCAAAGTGAATATTGTATTATAAATTTGATGCAGTGCCAATCAGAATACCAACAGCCTTTTAATGACGTTAGACAAGTTGATGCTAAAGTTCATATGGAAAAACAAACATGCAAAAATAGCCAGGAAGACAATGAAAAAACAAAAACTGCAAAAGGGGAACCAGTCCTGCAAGACATTAAAACACTATTATCTGCTATGACTCATGCCTGTAATCCCAGCACTTTGCGAGGCCGAAGTGGGTGGATCACTTGAGGTCAGGAGTTTGAAACTAGCCTGGCCAACATGGTGAAACCCCATCTCTACTAAAAATACAAAAGTTAGCTGGGCAAGGTGCAGCCACCTGTAATCCCAGCTACTCCAGAAGCTGAGGCAGGATTGTTGCTTGAACCTGGGAGGAGAGGTTGCAATGAGCCAAGATCGTACCACTGCACTCCACCGTGGGCAACAGAGCAAGACCCTGTCTCAAAAAAAAAAAATACTATTTCAACCTCTAATTAAAACAATGTGGTACACTGTTGAATACAGAGAGGAACAGAGCAGTGGGTTACAGTAGAAAGCCCAGGCATAGGCTGGGCGTGGTGGCTCAAACTTGTAATACCAGCACTTTGGGAGGCCGAAGTGAGCAGATCTTTTGATATCAGGAGTTCCAGACCAGCCTGGCCAAAATGGTGAAACCCTGTTTCTACTAAAGTACAAAAATTAGCCTGGCGTGGTAGTGTGAGCCTGAAATCCCAGGTACTCAGGAGGCTGAGGCAAGAGAGTCGCTTGAACCCAGGAGGTGGAGGTTGCAGTGAACCAAGATCACACAACTGCACTCCAGCCTCGGCAGAAAAAGTGAGACTCCATCTCAAAAAAAAAAAAAGAAAGAAAGAAAGAAAGCCCAGGCATACACACAGTACATACAGGAATTTAGTAAATGAGAAAGGAGGCATCTCAGGTCACTGAAGCAAAGATGGACTTTTTCATAAATCACCGGTGTTGGGACAACAGGTAGCCATGTCACAGGAAAATGGAGGGACGCAGACTGATCGTGCAGATGAGACCATTACAGCCCACGATGGTCCTCCGTGTAAAACCATTCCCTCACCTCCCGCAGTGTAGACCCAGGTACCAAAGAGCTGGCCAAGTATATTTATGATCATCATGCAGTTTACAGAAGGAAACATGGAGGATGAATTCAGGGATATTAGCGGTATTCATTTCAAAGAGTATTCTGTGGTAAATTAATCGCAAATATCATCTAAGTCAATGATTCCATGTGTCAGGGGCTAGTACGTGGCTGACTATAGAAAAGTCACTAGAGGGATAGGTAAAAATGTGCAGATTGCTGGGCTCATTTTCAGAGACTCATGGGAAGGCCTGGGAATAAGGATTTTTAATAAGCTCTTCCCATTCCCCATCCCTGACCCCTGGCTGATGCACTGTGTGTCCTGGGAACCAGCAGCCAGGTTCATAATCCTGCACCCAGGAAATACCACAGATATACCAGCTCAGACAGTGACCTATTTGGCCTGGGTTTTTTCTTTTAAATCTTTAAGTCTTTCATGGAGAGAAATGCTTCATGGATTCTAGCTGCTCATCCTGTCTTCGGAGCCAATCTGCCTCCAGTATGATCAGATCGCTCAAATGAGCCTCTGCTCCTGGCTGGAGGGAGTGCTTTCCCAACACCTGAGGAGGAGGGAAGAATTCCACTGGGGCAGCCCCTCAGAAATGTGTTCAGCCCCTGCCCAGCTCCACCACCCCAGCAGGGAAAGGGCCTGCCCAGGTCAGTTTGGGAGGAGGCGCCGGGTGTCTAAGGCAAGCTCTCTCTCCCTCCTGGCCGGCATCCATCTGCCTGCAGATAACAAACATTCTACTTTGCTCCTTCATGCTATACAGAAGCAGCCTCACACAGGGTGGGATTTGGGGAAACCATGGGTATCCTAAACCTTACCAGTGATTGGGGAACTCTTCATAATTCAGGGTGCTCCACCCCCAATTCCAATTTTATGCATTTGCATTTACCTTTATTGGGAATTTTGTCCATACTGCCAAGGAAATATTCTGGTTTAGGAGAATTCCAAGTAGCACTGGTTCCTTTGATAAAACACATGAAAAATAAATGAGAAAATGGGTCTTCGTCAGTATACATCTGCAAGCACCTTGGGCCCATATTTTGTTTCCCATTCTTTTGTTTTGTTTTGTTTTCGAGATGGAGTCTCACTCTGTCACCCAGGCTGGAGTACAGTGGCCAAATCTGGGCTCACTGCATCGCCGCCTCCCAGGTTCAAGTGATTCTCATGTCTCAGCCTCCTGAGTAGCTGGAACTGCAGGCACAAACCACCATGCCCAGCTGATTTTTGTATTTTTAGTAGAGATAGGGTTTCACGATGTTAGCCAGGCTGGTCTTGAACTCCTGACCTCAGGTGATCCGCCTGCCTTACCCTTCTGAGGCGGAGTGCTGGGATTACGGGCGTGATTACAGTCACTGCTCCCAGTCTTGTTTTCCATTTTTAAGTTGAAATGCTAATAAAGGACTCAACTTGTATGAGCAAATGCGTGTCTGAAAGTGAATGCCTCAATGTAGAGAGCAGTGCCACCCACTGCCGATTGCAGAGGTGCCCAGGCAGCTGTCCTGGGCTACCCTCAGGGAAACTACCCTCAGGAATTGGGGCGCAAACATCTGTCTGCAGAATACCAACACAGTGTCCACTCCCCCTCCCTGCTTGGGGCACTTGCATGCACATCTGGCAGATTTCCAATACCTAATTTTATCCTCATTACTGTGAGCAAATACCTATCTTAATTCCCAAAGTGCTAAATTTTTCCCATAATATGAAGCCGCTTTGGGGGAAAGAGTGTGTTCTTCACATCTGTCGTTTCTATGGGTGCGCCAAAGGTAAGTCATTTTTTGGTCTTGTTTTTATCATCCACTGGATGGGGTATTAATGACTGCACTAACCCTCAAACCACACTGTACACTTAGAAGGATTCATGTGTTGGGTGGAGTTATGATGCTGCTAGGTGCTCTTGTTGTCGGGAATGGGGGACTCTACTTGCAGATCAGGTTTCTGTCCTCTGAATGCCTCCAGGGTGGCAGAACCTGCCTAACACTGCACATCAAGGATCACCCCAAAATACATGGAGATTCACACTTTGGACCATGGATTCCATAGCAGGTGGAAGGTTATAGAGAGGATTTCAGCCAGTTGTTTCCTTCATATCTCAGTTGGCTTTGCCCCACCAGTAGTTGGGTTAAAGACTGTCAGGATGATGGTACAGCACATTTAAGACAACACATAGGCCTATAGACATGTGTGCATTTATTGTGTTAATGACACACACTTACCTTTTCTCATGTCTCTCTTTGTAATGGATCTGACTGCTATTGTTTCTTTAAATGATGGGTCATACGGAACCTGGGACGTGACTTGCAGTAGAATTTCATCTCCAGTGAAGCAAACAAAGGCATGTTAATACAAGCAACGCAGGACTGATGTATTTTGCTCTCCAAGTATGTAAAGCAGTCTATGAATACAGTGAATACGTGACGCAAACTCCGCAGATATGGGACTTTATTCCCTAAAATGCCTTGTCTGGGGGGGAAAACGCCAATTACCTAAATCATTTCCGGATAATTGTGATTGTCTGAGACTTCCTGGCTAGTAAACACTGCCCACTAAAGATATATGGCCCCAGATCTCCTGATACTCAGTGCCCTAATCATTCTTCTAGTTCTCTGAGACTGTTTGCAAGATAACTCATAAGAATAGGGTAAAGTTTGTGGGGGCAGAAATGAATCAGAGCAGATTCTATCAGCTCAGAAAGCTCTTTGTTTATAAAACCGTTGCCAATTCATCAGAGTTACGTTTTTGAAATGTATTAAGTACTCCTTTGCGTTTAACTTCTCAGGCCTCTGGCTTCCCTGGGAAGCAGCAGTTTTACCTTCCTCTCCAGGCTTTCCTTGCTAAGCCACAGAAAACAGTCCTCACAAACCCCACTCGTCCTGTATCTATTCTGAGTGCATTTCCAGGGCGGTTGGTTCTCGGTGGCCACTATTCATTTGACACAACAGGAGCTCACGACAGAGACATCAGAAAATTAAACATCAGGGTCACCAGGACAATGAGGAGCTGCTCTCACCACCCCTCCTTGATGACCTTGCTGATCTATGAGTCCCTGGAAATGTTGCCCAGCAGGAACCGCAGAGTTGAGCTGTGGCCTCCAATGCCAAGGCCCACCTGGCATGTACTGGGCAGGTCAATGGGCCCTTGAAGGATCATGGATGTTTCCCAAACCCCCAACCCGACTCCCATCCTCAGATGCAATCACCTGACTCCTACACATACGCAGCTAGATTCAGAGACACTGGGTTCACCTGCAAGGTGGAGAACAAGGCTTCTGCCTCCTAGGCAGCAGGTGCTGAAGGCACAGCTAGGGGAACCGCAAGTGCTACCCACATCTGCTCACTCATCCCAGCCTGGTCACCTGCCAGGCTGTCATCTATGCAGACTGCCTGAGGCCTGTGTGATGGTTCCCATGGGGAGGAGCAAGCCCAGCGCTCCTACCACGGACAGCTGCCAGAACGGAGGCCTATCGGGTGTCCAGAGATCTACTCTCTTGCAACCGGGAATGTGCAGGCATCGCTGTGTGATCCAAATGCCTCCTAACCCAAGGGGAAGCATCAGCACCACTCTCCCTGGAGCTCCTTCCCACACCTAAGGCAACCCTCGACCTCCCCTCCTGACGCAGGCCCAGGCACCCGTAGGAGAGACTGCACTGGCATCTGGACAGCTTCCTTCAGCAGACGGCTGTGGTTCAGAACCCTTTTCTTCGTCTCAGCTCTCTGCTAGAGGGCTTCCCTGGGCCTTAGTTTTTCTCACATGTTCAACAGAAGGTTTAGAGTAGGGACCAGTGAGTTGCAGCCTGGTGTCCCCTGGAGGGATAGAAAACTACAAATTCGAAGGTCTATCCCCACACCCCAAAATCTGATTCGGGGTGTGTGTGGAATGTCTCAATTATTAAAAAGAGGATTGCCCTAGGGGTTATTATGCTCAGTTAGGACTGACAACCAGGGCCTCAGAGCAGAAACTGGCGAGGCAGGTGTGCTGCCGCTGGTGCAAGGTGGCATCTGACGCTGCAGTCTCAATGAGCTCCCACACGGTGCTGCTCTGCTCCACTCATGCTCAGTAGGGTCTTTTCCAGGTGTGTATCATCTACGTTTTGCTTAATTTCTTGAGACTTCGACACTTAGGCAAACAGATTCTAGCCTCAAGGAAAAGTACCTGCCTTCCCTTCACAGCAGCAAGAACAGGTTACCTGGGAGACAATGAGGGCCATGCACACAACTCTTCAAATCCAACCCGAGGTTCCACAGGGAAGGGGGTGACTCACCAAATATTTTAGCTAAACCTTCATCAGGAATTTTTGAACTTGAGGAAAATTCGGGCTGGATGTGGTGGCTCACGTCTGTAATCCCAGCGCTCTGGGAAGCCGAGGTGGGCAGATCACTTGAGGTCAGGAGTTCAAAACCAGCCTGGGGGACATAGGGACCTCCCAATGCTACAAAAAATAAAAAGTAATTATCTGGGTGTCGTGGTGTGCACCTATGGTCCCAGCTACTCGGGAAGCTGAGACAGGAGGATCCATTGAGGTCAGGAGTTCATGACCAGCCTGGGCAACATGGTGAAACCCTGTCTACTTAAAATACAAAAAAATTAGCCAGGCATAGTGGCATGTGCATGTAATCCCAGCTACTTGGGAGGCTAAGGCAGGAGAATCACTTGAACCTGGAAGACAGCAGTTGCAGTGAGCCGAGATGGCGCCATTGCACTCCAGCCTGGGTGAGAAAGTGATACGCCATCTCAAAAAATTAAATAAAATTAGTTGCGCTTCACAACTCTGTGAGTATATTAAAAACCACTGAATTATATACATTTTAAAGGGTAAATTTGGCCAGCCATGGTGGTTCATACCTGTGATCCCAGCACTTTGGAAGTCCAAGGTAGGAGGATCACTTGAGCCCAGGAGTTCGAGACCAGCCTGGGCAACAGAGTGAGACCCCTATTTCTACAAAAACTTAAAAAATTAGCTGGGCGTGGTGGTACACACCTGTGGTCCCAACTACTTGGTAGGCTGGAGGGAGGATCCTTGGGCCTAGGAGGTTGAGGTTGCAATTAGCTGTGATTGTGCCACTCACTCCAGCCCCAGGTGACAGAGGGAGGCCCTGTCTCAAAAATAACAATAAATAGAAAAATAAAACAAAGAGTGAATTTTATGATATATTATATCTCTATAAAGTTGTTGCTATTTTTTTTTGATTGAGGGTCCCACTCTGTTGCCCAGGCCAGACTGCAGTGGTGTGATCATGGCTTACTGCAGCCTCGACTTTTTGGGCTCAACCTCAGCCTCCATAGTAGCTGGGACCACAAGCAGGCACCACCATGCCTGGCTAATCTTTTAATTTTTTTTTATAGACAGGGTCTCATTACGTTGCCTAGGCTTGTCGCAAACTCCTGGGTTCAAGGGATCCTCTTACCTTGGCCTCCTAAAGTGCTGGCATTACAGGATGAGTCACTGTACCTGGCCACTGTGCCCTTTGTTTTGTTTTGAGACACAGTCTCGCACGATTGCCTGGGCTGGAGTGCAGTGGTGAGATCTCGGCCCACCGCAACCTCTGCCTTCCAGGTTCAAGCGATTCTCCTACCTCAGCCTCCCAAGTAGCTGGGATTACAGATGTCTGACACTACACCCAAATTTTTTTTTTTTTTTTTTTTTTTTTTTTTTGTATTTTTAGTAGAGATGAGGTTACACCATGTTGACCAGGCTGGTCTCAAACTCCTGACCTTGTGACTCGCCTGCCTCAGGCTCCCAAAGTGGTGGAATTACAGGCATGAACCACTGCACCTGGCCAATGCTATTATTTTTTAAATAGTGAGTGTGTATAGATAAAATCAGGATGGTTAATTAGCACATGGTGTTCTTTATACTAATCTTTCTACTTTTGCATATGTTTGGAAATTCTTACAATAAAAAGTTAAAATATGCATGTATGCCACCCTCCTATGCAGCTCTGAATTCTGAGAAAGCTTCAAAGTTAGGAAAACATTTTAAGTTACTCCCTTCTCCCAAGTAATAAACCCTGAATGGTAGATTTGGGGAGGTAAAGAAGGTAGGGTAGGTAGACTGTCTATGCTCCCCACAATGTGGGAGGGAACACCCTCCTCTGCCCCACTTAGGCTCAAAGTGAGGCCTACGTTTCTTTCCAGCTGCCACAGCTATATACCTTGGATCAAGCAGAGGGCAAAGAAGAGGGCCACGGCTCTGCTCATATTTGCCTTAGTTCATGAACCAGCAAGCAAAAGCCAGTTTTCTGAAGATTCTTCAGACTCAGCAGCCTCAGGACTCCAGGGTACCATGGAACCCAGTGGTCTGTGAAGTCACAACCGGAAGTGAGGTGGGGCCTGCTCAACTGTGGGGAGAGGAAGGGCCTCTGTGTGTGGACAGTGATGGGGGCCATCCTAGTGGCCCCGAAGTGATTTTCTACTCACTTCCCTTGGATCCCTACTGCCTTCTTCCATCCTGCATGTCCTGAAGGCAACAAGATATTAACCAGGACTCTGAAGTCACAAGTGACAAAAACTCTACTAAATTGGCTGAAGTGAATTGGAAGTAGCTAGAATAGCCAGAAAAATCCTATCAAGACATCACAGCTGGGCGTAGAGGCTCACACTTGTAATCCCAGCACTTTGGGAGGCTGAGAATACAGGAGGATAACCTGAGGTTAGGAGTTCCAGACCAGCCTGGCCAACATGGTGAAACCCCATCTCACAAACAAAGTGTTGCTATTTATTATATTAGGTAAAATTATAACACCAAAAATAGCATCAACCAATTGATATGCCCATGTTGTTACTCATGTATTATCACTATTTCCCCTTATTACATTTTATAAGTATCAAACTGTTTTCATAGGAAAAATCTTTTTTAGTAGCTTGTATTACACTTTTTTCTAGTTTGTTCTCCATATTCATTTCGTACTGGGTCCCACAAATTATGTAGCCTGCCCTGCCCTTAAGCCTTCATGTCCTCACAGTGTGTGTTCCATGGCTGAGATGGCAGAGATCTTTTAGGGGAAAAACTTGCACAAAGAGTTATACAGGGCCGGGCACAGTGGCTCATGGCTGTAATCCCAGCACTTTGGGAGGTCGAGGTGGGTGGATTACTTGAGGTCAGGAGTTCAAGACCAGCCTGACCAACATAGTGAAACCTGGTCTCTACTAAAAATACAAGAATTAGCTGGGTGTGGTGGCAGGGGCCTATAACCCCAGCTACTCAGGAGGCTGAGGCAGGAGAATTGCTTGAACCCAGGAGGTGGAGGTTGCAGTGAGCCAAGATGGCACCACTGCACTCCAGCCTGGGTGACAGAGCAAGACTCCATCTCAAAAAAAAAAAAAGTTATATAGTAAAATTCTAGGTAGCTCAGTTGTCTTAGTTTGCTAGGACTGGTATAACAAAGTCCCACAAAATGCATGTTAAACAACAGAAATGCACCTTGAACAAGGTGTGGGATAGGAACATCAACCCCCCATGTGTAACTTTTGACTCTCTAAAAACTAAATTACTAGTAGCCTACTATTGACCAGAAGCATTACTAATAACATAAACAGTCGATGTAATAGGCCTGCGCTGGCATTTTTTTCTTGAACCGCAACAGTAATAAATCCTTTTATTACCTGAAGGAGCAAGGGCATTAAGCAGGGGAGCAATATGCATGCTCCTATCATCAGTAACACATTTACGATGATGGTCGTGAGTCCTCCTATAGCAGGAAACCAATTCCCAAACATTGATCCAGGGCCAAACCCATGCCAGACCTGTACAGGTACATGTGCCAGTTTTGTCATGTCCCTTACAATAGTTTCAACCACCTGAGCCTGGTCATCTATTTGCAGGCAACAGTTGGTTAAATTGAATTTTCCACATACCCCTCCTTCAGCTGCCAGTAGGTAATCTAAAGCCTGTCTGATCTGGTAGATGACATTTCTCATCTTGGTCTCCTGCTGTGCCAGGGCAGTTAGAGCCTGGCCAATTTTGTTGGTCAGGATTTCTAGGACAGCTTGCAATCGAATGATTCGATTAAGCATGTAGATCGGAGTACAATAGCCCCATGAGCCATCCTCTGCCCATAGTATTGTATTACTTTCTCAGGGGCCATTTATCATCTTTCCAGTCCCCTGTAACTACTCTTCACTTGTCTCATGAAGAGTAGACAGGAAAACCTAACAAGTCCCCAGTTCTTATGGGTAATAGAAAGAAAGAGGGCTTGATGGTGCCAAGGATACAACTGCCCATCCACTGGTCTGGCAGTTTGGTGTAGGCCCTGTGCCCACATATCCAGTACAAGCCAGGAGCACTACCCAGTCCCGGTAGAGTTCCAGGTGGGTCCAGGCCACCCGTAAGGTGGGAAACTTTTGGAAAGGGTTGGTCTTGGTCCTATCTAAAATCCACCAAGTGATTGTTTTCCTGGTTTCATTATATAGCTTCTGTCCCAAACAGTCCGCTTTCCCACTGGGTCCATCACACCCCTTCCTATTCTGGCCAGACAATATTGTCCAATGATGGAGGTTTTTAAGATCTAGAAGTGGTTACTCAGGCCCTTTTGTACATAGGTCACATTAGGGACAGGGTCAGCAGGCACAAGCTCGCATGCTTCCCATGGCCACTGGTTCCCCATAGTAGTTCCTTCACACACACGCACACATAAAAAGAATGCACTTTTAAATTCTTGGCCACATTCTCAGCTAACTGAAAGAACAAATTTCTTTCTTTCTGGGGAAGTTCTGGAACTGGTTCATTCAATATATCATTAAAAGTTTGAAACATCGGGTGGGATGATTATTTCTGGATATTTCCCTGACTTAGACTGTTAACCATGGGGTCCAGTCCTTTTTCATTAATTTCCATTATTACATATTTCCCTTTCCTCCAACGAGGATTCAGAGGATTGGTGATTGTTAATTCTAATGGATTACAATAGCCAGAGGTGCAGGGGGGGCTACTCCTCCCCTTTTGGAGATGGACTGGGTTATTTTTATTATTTTTTCAGGTGGCCCAGATGACACATGACCAGTAGTTACAACATGACCACTGCATGGCCATCAGTCATGACAGATGTATTTTTTTTTTCTTCTATGTCTTTGACTGTTTCCCAGAGAAGACAGATGTATTTATGCTCTGCCGTATAGCTTCTTTTTCAACCAAGAGAGACACACCCTAGCCCTTGCTTGTTACTATTGACAGCTGCACAAGCATCAAATTTTATGGTGACCTACTTAGGTATTCCTTTGTCCTTAGCTTTTGTAAATACTTGTATCCCCTAAGAAGGGACCAGTTCTCAGCCTTATTTTGAATATGGTAGACATGGCAGGTTCAAATGGGTTATAACATACATCAGGTTGGTTGTTCCCTGGGCTGCACACCTGGTACTGGATAGCATTATATAAACAAGTTCCTTTGAGGGTTCCAGTGCATTCATAATAACTGTAAAACAAGAGGTCTGTGGTAACCTTTTGTCTTACCTTAGCAACCTTATGTATGCACTGGGAACAATCAGATGGGAAGTTTACATTTACTGGGGCAGCAAAAATACAAGTCCATAGTCCAAAGAGAAGGAGCACCTGTCCCATGGGGGCAGTCCTCATGCTTCAGCCTTGTGTAGGTCAGATAGCTTCCAGGGTGTGACTGGAGCAGGGCTTGTTGTCTGTTTTTTCTAAGGTGATCTTGCATGGGTTATGGAGATTTGGCTTTGCTTCCCAAGTGTCTGATACTGCAGGTTTCACATGGCTGTGATGTATCCACGCAGGAACTCCCTTGACCTTCATGACAGCTGGAGTTGTTAGAATGACATTTTGGGGTCCTTTCCACCTCAGTTGTAGGGGAGCTGTGTTCCAGTCCTCATCCAAACTCAGTCACCTGGTGAGAAAGGGTGAACTGGGGAGAAGAAGCTGACAGGGAATTTTTTATTGACTCATTTAGACAACTTTTTTTTTTTTTTTGCCACCTTTTCTAAAGCCTGTAACTGCTGACATAATTTAGTAATTTAGTTTCCCCTAATTCCCAGGGAGTTCCTGGAAGTCCCCAGAGAATGAGGGGAGGCCTATGATTCAGGATTTCATATGGGAAATATCCAGATTTTTTAGAAGGTATACATTTAATTTGAAACAAAACCATAGGAAGGACCTGCACCCACTTTAACCCTGTCTTCTGGCACAATTTCCCTAAGCTATTTTTAATAGTTCAGTTCATTTGTTCCACTTTGCCTGAACTCTGAGGCTGGTAGGCGGCATGTAGTTTCCAGTTTATTCCTAGCATTTTCACTGTACTTTGTACCAGGTCCGCTACAAATGCAGGCCCATTGCCTGAGCCTACTCGCAAAGGCAGTCCAAATCTAGGGATGATGTCTCTTAAAAGAGCAGGAGTCGGCCAGGTACGGTGGCTCACGCCTGTAATCCTAGCACTTTGGGAAGCCAAGATGGGTGGATCACCTGAGGTCAGGTGTTCAAGACCAGCCTGGCCATCATGGAGAAACCCCATCTTTTTGTAAAAAAAAAAAAAAAAAGAAAAAGAAAAGAGCACGAGTCACTTCACAGGTCTTCTCAGTCCATGTTGGGTTGGCTTCTACCCACCAGGAGTAAGTACATACCTGAACCAGCAGATATCGGTTACCTCCGCACTTAGGCATTCCAATGAAGTCCACTTGCAAGTCTTTAAAAGGAGCACTTCCATAAGCCTGGATTCCTGGTGGAATTGTAGGTTCTTGTCTGTCATTGTGCTGTCTGCCCGTTACATACTGTTATGTCACTGTTTTTGCTAGTGCAGATAAATGAGAGATGTAAAAATACTGGCCTAACAATTTTTTAAGGGTTTCTTGCCCAAGGTGGGAGGTTTCATAGACAGCCAAGACCACTGCATGTCCTAGTACTTGTGGCACTGCTACTCGTCCATCTGGCAGATGTATCCATTCTCCCTTTATTTCCTTTCCATCTTCAGTTTGAAGGAATTTTCTTGCCTTCTCTGAATAAACTGGCACCAACTTTGGGACCTGGGGCAGTAGGGGGACCACAACTGATGCCTGATATGGGATAGATGCTGCCCTCTGGGCCTCTGCATCTGCATGGGCATTTCCCTGGGCTACTGTGGTGGAGGTTCATTGATGTCCTCAGCAGTGCATGACTGTCACCTTTTGGGGCTTTTATTTTTAAATTCTGTCCCAAAGTTAGCTTGTTAGCCTCTTGTGCCAGTAGGGCAGTGGCTGCTAAGGCTTGCAGACACAGGGGCCATCCCTTGGAAACTCCATCCAGTTGTTTGGACAAGTATGCCACAGGTCAAGGCCATGAGCCCACAGTCTGGGTCAGAATCCCTACTGCCATTTTTTCTCTCTCAGACACATATAGCATAAAGGTTTTGTCAAGTCCAGCAGTCCCAGAGCCGAGGCAGACATCAGTTGTTTGTTGTTTTTTTTTTTTTTAACTGTGAGAAGGCCCCCTGCTGCTCCAAGCGCCACTCAGACAGCTCTCCATTTCCCCCTACTGTGGCTTCTTACAGGGATTAAGCCAGAGCTGCAAAGTTAGGAATCCACAGCTTGCAGAATCCCACTGCTGCCAAGAATTTTCGCACCTGCCTCCAATTCTTCACTGGCAGGTTACAGATAACCTGCTTCCTTTTTATTCCTAGGTTTCGCTGCCCCTGCTGGATAGTGTAGCAGGAGCAGCCAAGGGAAACAGATCTCTTGGACACTGAATACAGGAGGAAGGAAGGTTTATTCGGCTGGGAGCCAGGTGGCATAGTTGCGTAACAGCCAAGCTCCCCTAACAAAGGAATGTTCCATCTTTATATAGGCTTATACTTCAGATGTTACACCTGGAAGAATCTTAGGTTTATAGCTTAACATATGAAAAGGGTCTCGGTTTAGAGTCTCAGAAATTATGAAAAGGGTTTCAGTTTACAGTCTTAGGAATTACATATGAAAAGGGTCTCAGTTTACAATCTCAGGAATTACATATGAAAAGGGTCTCAGTTTACAGTCTTAGGAATGAAAAGGGGAAGTTGATCTGAGATGCCTGGTCTCCCCCTTCACCTCCCCCTACTTTGAGACTCTCATCACTTTATAATATTAGTGAGAGGTCTCACTTTCATTCTCATTTCCAGATTTTCTGAAGAAGCCGACTGGTAATGTTTCATATAATATACTTGTGATGTCATTTTTTGGCTAATTACAGTAGTGATGAATCCCCTAATCATCTGAAGGAACAGGGGGAGTAGACAAGGGAGCAACAAACAAACACCTATTATTATTATAACACTTATGATGAGGGTTTTGAATCCTCCCAAGGATGAGAACCAACCTCCAAATAAGGACTCAGGGTTAAATCCGTGCCACACCTGTACAGGCATGTGTGCCAGTTTGGTCATGTCTCGCACAATATCCTCTACTGCTTGCCCCTGGTCATCTATATGCAAATAGGAGTGGTCAGATTGAATTTTCCACAGACTCCTCCTTCGGCTGCTAGCAAATAATCTAGGGCCGGTTGGTTCTGATAAATCGTGTTTCTCATTTGAGTTTCTTGTCAGGCCAAGAGGGACAGAGCTTTGCCCGTTTCATTAGTGAGTATTTCCAAAACAGCCTGCAACCGGAAGATCTGGTTGACCATGTAAATAGGGGTCCAGTATCCCCATGAGCCATCATCCTTGGCCCATGTAGCCGGCCCATAATACTCAATAATTCTCTCTGGTGGCCACTCATCATCTGTCCAATCCCCTATTTTTAGGTCCCTCTTCTCCCTAGCAGAGTAGACTGGATACCCTAACAGCTCACCTGTCTTAACAGATAATAGGAAGAAAGAGGGCTTAATGATGCCTATGACACAGCTACCTGTCCATCTCACAGATTACACACATTGTATTGAGTACCATTATATAAACAGGCTCCGCACATTTATAAGAACTGCAGGACAAAAGAATGTCAGTAACTTTCACGTCCTACCTGGTGTACATACAGAGGGCATTCTTCAAAATTAGTTAATGTTCTGACTATGCAAGTCCAAATATTAAGAAGAACAAGGCCCCTGATGAATTTCCTCATGTGTCGGCCGTGCGTGGACCAGCCAGCTTCCGGGATGTGGTTGGAGCAAGGCTTGTTGTCCTTTTTAAGGTGATTCTGCAGTCCTTGCCTTGGTCTAAGTCTCAGCTGTTGCTGGTTTTTACACAGCTGTGGTGGATTCAGGCTGGGATTCCCTCTGTCTTCACGGCTATGGGGTTGGTCAGGATCAGGTCTGAGGTCCTTTCCATTGTGGCTTTAGAGGGGCTGTACTGCCCTCCTTTATCCACACGTGATTACCTAATGAGAAAGGGTGAACTGGGGAGAATAAGCTTACAGGACATCTGTCATTTACCCAGATTGAAATATCCTGGGCTATTTTCCCTAGAGCTCGTAACTGGCATCCTAACTCAATCTCCCCACACTCCCGAGGAGTTCCCAGGAGTGCCCGGAGTATGGGAGGGGGCCTATGATATAAGATTTCATAAGGGGAATATCCTGTCTTCCTAGAGGGGGTGCATCTAATTTTGAATAACCCCAAGGGAAGTGCCTGCACCCACGCTAATCTTGTTTCCTGACACACTTTCCCTAAGCTTTTTTTGATGGTCCAGTTCATTTTTCCCTCTTTTCCGGAAATCTGAGGTCGGTAGGCAGTGTGTAGTTTCCAGGTGATACCCAAGGCCATTGCTGTTTTCCGGACTAAATCTGGCACAAATGCTGGCCCATTGTCTGATCCGATGCGCAGTGGCAGTCCAAACCTAGGGATAAGATCTCGAAGCAGCACACAGGTTACTTCATGGGCTTTTCAGTCCCACCCAGAGTATGTGCACACCAGGACCAACAAATACTATTATGTCCCCCACACTTGGACCTTTCAATAAAGTCAGCTTGGAGATCTTTAAACGGAGCTGCTCCATAAGCTTGAATTCCAGGGGCATTTGTTGGACCCTGCCTCGCATTGTGTTGCCGACATGTAATGCATCGCTGTGCCACAGTTTTGGTTAAGGCTGCTAAGTGTGAGATGTAAAAGTACCGGCCCAGCATCTTTCAAGCGACTCTTGACCTAAATGAGTGGTCTCATGTACGGTTTGTACAACTGTTGCCCCCAGCAGCCGTGGTGCTGCTATTCTTCCATCTGGCAGTTGGGTCCATCCTTCTTTAATCAGTTACCCTCCCTTCTGTCTGGAGAAAGTCTCTTTCCTCCTTAGAGTAAGTAGGTATTAGGTCAGGGATCTGGGGAATCAGCGGGGCTGTAACTGCTGTTCGGTAGGGGGCAGATGCTGCCTTATGAGCTGCTGAATCAGCTCAGGAATTTCCCAGGGCCATGGAGGTGTGGGCCCACTGATGTCCTCAGCAATGCATGACCGCCAGCCTCCGGGGCTTCCAGACTGCTTCCAACAGCTACAAAATTTCATGCTGTTACTTTATTTCTTTTCCCCCTGAAGTTAACAGGCCTCTCTCTTTGTACAGTGCTCCATGTACTTGGAGAGTCGGGAAGGCATATCCAGAGTCGGTGTAAAAGTTTACAACCTTATCTTTACTCAGCTCTAGGGCTTGAGTTAAAGCAATGAGTTCAGCCTTCTGAGCCGAGGTGCCCTGAGGCAGGGATTTGGCCTCGATTACAGTGTCCAGTGTTACCACAGCATAGCCTGCACATCTTTCCCCTCGTGGATTGACAAAGCTGTTCCCATCCACATACAACTCCCAGTCTACCACTGTCCATGGCTGATCCCGAAGATCAGGCCTGCTGGAATAGACTGTGTCCAGGACTTCAACACAGTTGTGTTCAACGGGAGCCTCTGACATTGGGAGCAAAGTAGCAGGGTTTAAGGTGTTGCAGGGTTTAAGGTGTTGCAGACTTCAATGGTGATGCAGGGATTTTCACATAGCAGGCCCGGGGATTTGGTCAGCCTAACATCTGATAACCAGTGGTTCCCTCTGGTATTTATTAGAGTCACTACTGCGTGGGGTGCCTTGATATTTAAGTTCTGCCCCAGAGTTAGCTTATCAGCCTCTTGTGCCAGCAGAGCAGTTGCTGCCAGGGCCCTTAAGCATGGGGGCCATCCTTTGGAAAGTCCATCCAGCTGCTTGGAGAGGTAAGTTACAGGCCTGGGCCAAGGTCCTACTGTTTGGACTAGGACCCCAACTGCCACTTTTTATCTTTCTGCCACATATAATGTGAAGGGCTTCGTTAAATCAGGCAGCCCAAAAGCTGGAGCTGACATTAGTTTTGTTTTCAGTTCCCGATAGGCCTGGCGCTGCTGGGATCCCCATTCAAAAGGCTCCTTGTCTCCCCGCTTTGTCACATCATAGAGGGATTTGGCTAGTACTGCGAAGTTTGGAAATCCAATTTACGAAACCCACTGCTTCCAGGAGCTCTCTCACCTGCCTTTTAGAACCAGGTTCTGTCACTTTGCAAGTGGCTTGCTTCCTCTCTGCTTCTAGGCTGCGTTTCCCCTTCTGATGGTGAGCCTCAGATATTGCATTTGCTTTTTGGCAAATCTGGACTTTCTTTTAGATACTTTATACCCACAGTCCTCCAGGTGCCGAAGTAAGGCGTTTGCACACCCGACTGCCGTGGAGTGTCCCAATAGAAGGTTACCAGCATACGGGGGCAGCACGCAAGCAAGAAGCTTCTGGGGGGTGGTCACGGGCTGATGCCTCCCCAAGGATGATGAGAGAGTTTTTGAGCCCCCGGGAAGCTGGGTCCAGGTGTATTGAGTGGTTACACCTGCTTCTGGGTTTCTCCCATTGAAATGCAAATAGTTTTTGAACCTCTGCGACCAGTCCAATGCTAAGGAGGTATTCTTTAAGTCCAATTAAGTGAACCAACTATCCTTTGCTGGCAATAATCCCAACTGCATGTATTAGTTGGGTGCAAAGCCCTGCACGGGCCTGGGCGATAATATCAGCCTTCTGCTTCTGGCTAGGAAGTTTCCACCCTCCTTCCCAAGGGACAATGAGAGCCTGGATGACCCCTGCCTGAGGCATTTTTAGGAGTCACTTTTGTTGAATGGGATAGTGGCCCTTGATTTGCACAACAGGTTTTGCCAGAGAAGAGGGGCAGGGGCAGTCCGTTAAGTACAAGAAAGTCTGTTCTCTCTTTTTTTTTTTTTCTTTTGAGACAGAGTTTCGCTCTTGTTACCCAGGCTGGAGTGCAATGGCACAATCTTGGCTCACCACAACCTTCATCTCCTGGGTTCAAGCAATTCTCCTGCCTCAGCCTCCCGAGTAGCTGGGACTTCAGGCAAGCGCCACCATGCCCAGCTAATTTTTGTATTTTTAGTAGAGATGGGGTTTCACCATGTTGTCCAGGATGGTCTCGATATCTTGACCTCGTGATCCACCTGCCTCGGCCTCCCAAAGTGCTGGGCTCTTAATATCTTAATAGCTCTAACAACATTGGTTCTGGCCGAGCGTAGTGGCTCATGCCTGTAATCCAAGCACTTTGGAGGCCAAAGCGGGCGGATCACCTGAGGTTGGGAGTTCAAGACCAGCCTGACCAACATGGTGAAACCCTGTCTTTAAAAAGGAAAGAAAAAAAAAAAAACATTGGTTCTGTTTTTTTCCATGGGGGTTACAGGGCTGTCGTCTGGACCATGGGCTCTTTGGGGGCATATGAGTCTGGGCCCCCTCTCTTTTAGTTCAGTGGCCCTTCCATTAGATTGAACAGAGCCCCTTCACTTTTATCTGGATCCTTGTGCTTAGGATCGCCCTGTTCTCCCATTAACTGTGGACATTTTTTTTTTCTTCCGACGTCCTATTTCTTGACAAAATGCACACTGATCGCGTTGCAGGCATGGGCTGACGGACTGTGGGGCTTTCTAGGAACCCCCCTTTTTCCACGCTTTTGGGGGTGTTCCTCTCATAGCAGCAGCTATCAAGTTGGCCTTCCATTGAGCCTGACGTTCCCTTTCCCTATGATTTTCCCTCTGGCTTACCGCCTCCTGGTTTACAAACACCGATTAGCTACTTCCTATAACTGAAGTATTCATGCACGCAAATCCTGCCTGTTTCTGCCACTGAATTTGCCTGGACTTGGGAGTCCGCGTTTCTCAGCGGCGAGGGTGGTGGTGATTTCTAGCAGTCTGTCCCTTGGCTACTAAAACAGTCGCTGCCTGCTGTCTTAGCCACTTTGGAGGGTTTAACACTAACTGCAACCAGTGTCTATGTATGGAAATTGATTAAGGTGTTCTAGCTTGCCATATATAACCTCATGCCTTACTTTGGAGACAAGGGACCTGTCTAGGGTCCCCTCTGGGGGCCAACCTACCCTTAGTGCTGGCCAATCTTCCCTACATAAAATCCTTAATTTCTCTGGTGTCATAGTTACTTTATAATTCCCACTAAATCCCTTCTTGAAAATTTTCAGCATGGTTTCTAAAGGGGTGGGCTTGCTATGGGAGTGACCCATATTAACACTTCAAATAAACAATTCCCACAGTTAGGACAGTGTTATTTCACTCACAGCACTTCCCGCCTAGCAAGATGCAGCTTGAAGCACTCACCCATTTACATTCACTTCAATCCTGTTACAATGCCCAGAGGCTTCTTCACTCAGCCTTATGTGGCTGTCTCTAATTCTTACAAATTGCTCAACGCATGAGGCCCTTCCTAATGGGCCGGATACCTTTTATGACTGATGAGTCCGGTTGGACACATCTACGCACACAGACACACATCCAATTGCTCTCCTTCCAATTCAAAACCATAAGCAAAAAGCTTCCAAGGTTAGTTAGAGAGAGAGCTACCTTCAAAATTGCTGATCTGGCACCCGTGGGCGAAAAGGCCACGCTTCCACCCAAAATGGGGTGGGCTAGTTTCCCAGGTTCAATCTTACCAAATTCAGTGGTCCAGACTTCCCCAAATACTCGTTCCTCCTCGGTGTTCAGCCACTGGGTGGATCCACACTGCAGGGCCTCCCTGCTCTGCTCTGGTGAGGATTTTCTAACAGGCAGATACCTGCCCAGGAGCGCTCTCAGGATGCATCGCCACAGCGAGCAGGAGTCCCCCTGCAGGGATGCTCCACAGGGCTAGGCAAACCACCTAAGAGACTTTTTCCCGCCCTCTACTATCTGAGACTCGATTCTGAGCCCTTGCACCAAAATGTAGCAGGAGCGGCCCTGGGAAACGGATCTCTCGGACACCGAATACAAGAGGAAAGAGGATTTATTCGTCCGGGAGCAAGGTGGCATAGTTGCCTAACAGCCAAGCCACCCTAACAAAGGAAGGTTCTGTCTTTATACAGGCTTATACTTTAGATGTTACACGTGGAAGAATCTTAGGTTTATAGCTTAACATATGAAAAGGGTCTCAGTTTACAGTCTCAGGAATTACATATGAAAAGGGTTTCGGTTTACAGTCTTAGGAATGAAAAGGGACAGTTTACAGTCTTAGGAATGAAAACGGGAAGTTGATCTGAGATGCCTGGGTCTCACTCTTCACCAGTAAATCCCAGATAGCACACCTGCTATTGGTAAATCTGGGCCTTCATTTTACAGATCTTGTATTCACAGGTCTCCAGGTGTCTGAGCAACAAGTCAGTTTCCTGGGCACATCCGGCTGCTACCAGGTATCCCAGCAAAATGTCATCCACGTACTGAAGCAGCACACAACCTAGGTCCTTGGCGGACAAACTTTGGAGGTCCCAGGCCAATGCCTCTTCAAAGATGGTTAGGGAGTTCTTGAACCCCTGTTGAAGCGGAATCCAGGTGTACTGTGTTGTTACGCCTGACTCCAGATCTTCCTACTGGAAGGCAAACAGTTTTTGGCTCTCAGGGGCTAACCAGACACTGAGAAAGCATCCTTTAAGTTTAAGCGAGTGAACCAGCTGGTCTTAGCTGGCAACAGTCCTAGCGAAATATAGGGATTGGGTACCGTGGGGTGCAAGGTCACAGTTGCCTGGTTGACCAAGCGCAAATTCTGCACTGGTCTATAGTCCTTGGTCCCAGGCTTGGGGACAGGCAGGAGAGGCGTGTTCCAAGGAGACTGGCAGGGAGCTATAATACCATAAGCTTTCAGGGGTCTGAGATGGGCCTGGATGCCCTCAAAAGCTTCCCTTGGTACTTGGTACTGCCTCTGCCTAACTGGTAGTGCCCCTGGCTTTACTTTGATAACCACTGGGGCTTGGTTTACTGCCAAACCTGGGATGTTGTCTTCTGCCCAGACCTGTGGCCATCCTTGGTTAGCCCAGGGGTTAATTCTCCTCCCAGCTTAGTTAGGAAGAGTCTCCACTCCTCCCTCAGGACAGGGGAGCCATGATAATTTCTGCCTTAGGCAGTTTGAGCTGCAGGGAGCCCTTATCAGTAAAAGTGATAGTAGCTCTTGGTTTGCTCAGCAAGTCTCTCCCCAAGAGGGGTAGGAGGCAGTCCAGGACGCACAAAAACTGATGTATAATCTCGTGGCCTTCCATCAGACAGGTCCATCGTAGGCAGAAAGCCTGTTTCTTTGAAACTTTAGTGGCCCCAATTATATTTATTATCTTACTGGACAAAGGAGCTACAGGTTGGGTCACCACCCAGTCGTTTTGTGTTTTTGTTTTGTTTTAAGTTTGCTGTTACTGTTACACTGTTTGCCTTAAGCTGTTGAGCCTGGCAACTCCCACACACAGCTGTGCAGACAGCTCTCGCTTGTCTTTAGGGTTAGCAGTTGAACTCTTTTTATCCCTGATTTTTCTTTTTACCCTTTTTTTTTCTGAAGCTACCAGCAGAGCTGATCTTTCTTTTATGCTGGGCTTAGCTTGAACTACGTGCATTTTGCAGTAATTTGCTAGATAGGGCTGCAGCCACGCAGGTTGGGTTGGAATTCTGTTTAGCCATGAGTTAATATAAGGTAATTGGTCCAGATGCCCTGGCTGTCCTTTGACCTTGATTACCACCTTAAATACATGGCCGATTGCTGTTGTTTTTTTTAATGTGTAGTTCCTTTGTCTGGCCAGCTGACACCAAAAGAAGGCCATTCTAATTCACAAAGGGTTTTTAACCTTTGAGGAGACAACTTTACATCATATTTCCCTTGCAACTGTTTAGCATGCACTCCAAAGGAGTAGGTACAAGTTTTGACTCATTTCCCATTTTGATTTATTCCCTCCTTCCTCCACCTTTATGACGCACAATCACACAGATTCTGAGGTTCTGGTGTTGCTTAGTCAGGAGGATCCCTTAAACCCCCACAGTGCTCCTGCCTTCTGTGGGGACCCTGCTTTGGACTGCATGCACTACCCTAGGACAGGCCAGCCACACACTTGCCTTGGAGCCCACAGCCCCCACTAAGGGATCTGTGTCTCCCCTCATCACCCTCCACGTTGGTTCCTCCAAGAGCCATCTCTTTCACTTACTTTCACACACCTTCCCTCATCCCAAGACTCCTCAACGGATGTAGCAGGCCCCTCCCACGAGGGCGGTTCACATGCCTTTGCTTTTAAGACTCCTTAACAGACACGGCAAGCTCTATCTCCCCACTGCACTTTGGTGGTTTCACTTTCTTGATATACCAGCTCAGCATGCTCTATCACGTGCTCTATCACGGCTGCTCTGGCGGCAGGCAAGCTGTGCCCGCTGCACTATGTCAGCTGCCAGTCCAGCAGGCTGTATCCCGCTCTTTGCTGGCTCTCAGGATATAAGGGTTTCCACATAATCTCCAGCTACCCCTGGAATGGGCACCCCTTAATCCTAGAGAGAGGTGATTAAGCTGCTCTCACCTACCCTCTACGGCAGGATTTTCCCCATCCTCTACGACAGGCCTTTCCTCCCTCCAACCAAGTCAGAAACAGAAACAAGTTTAAGGAGCCAAGACTGGCTTACAGAGTAACAAAATTAAAACCAAAGTGCCTAGACACACACACTCTCTCTCACACACACACACACACAGACACACACACTCACATGAACAAAACCAAAACCAGGGTGCCTACCTTGGCACACACACACAAGAACAAAACCAAACCAAGGTGCAAGACTCTGTCTCAAAACAAACAAAAAAAGTAAAAATAGGCCGGGCGCGGTGGCTCAAGCCTGTAATCCCAGCACTTTGGGAGGCCGAGGTGGGTGGATCACGAGGTCAAGAGATCGAGACCATCCTGGTCAACATGGTGAAACCCCGTCTCTAACTAAAAATACAAAAAATTAGCTGGGCATGGTGGTGCGTGCCTGTAATCCCAGCGACTCAGGAGGCTGGGGCAGGAGAATTGCCTGAACCCGGGAGGCGGAGGTTGCGGTGAGCCGAGATCGCGCCATTGCACTCCAGCCTGGGTAACAAGAGCGAAACTCCGTCTCAAAAAAAAAAAAAAAAAAGTAAAAATAATTGAAAGAAAATCAGTGAAACCAAAAGCTGGTTCTTCGTTGAGAAAATCAATAAAACAAAAATCTCTAGCCAGACTGATTAAGGAAAAAGACACAAATTTCCAGTGTCAGGAATGAAGGCAGACATCATTACAGACACCACAGACATTAAAAGGAAAATAAGAGTACAATATGAACAACTTTCTGCCAATAAACTCAACATGTTAGATAAAATGAACAAATTCTGTGACAGACACAAACTAACGAAGCTCATCCATGAAGAAATAAACAATCTCAACCGCCCTATATCTACCTGAAAAATTGAATTGTGGGTAATAACTTTTCTACAAAGAAAACTCAAAGCCTAGATGGCATCACTGGTAAAATATGTCTATCCATATTTAAGGAAGAAATACCACCAATTCTACACACATGTAGAAATTAAAGATGAAGGAATCTTTTCCAATTCATTCTACGAGACCAGCATCTTGATACCAAACCAGGCAAAGCTATTTTTGTCTGGGAAAGACCAAACAGAATTATAGGAAAAGAAAACTATGGATCAATAACTTTCATAAACATAGACACAAAAGTTCTTAAAATTTTAGCAACCCGAATCCAACAATATCTTTAAAAGGATAATATGTCATAATCAGGTAGGGTTATTCCAGGAATGCAAGTTACTGAAACTGAGAGCATCAAAGGAACCCCAGTGCTAGAGTGTGAAGCAGGTAAGAAAAGAAGGCGCCATCTGCCACATGCTGAGAGGGTGGAGACAGCAGGCAGGGAGCAGCTGGCCCTGTGAGTTGGGGGGATTCTCTCTCACCTCTCTCCCTTTTTTCTCTGTTTCTCCTCTAAAGCAAGGTTTCCAAGCTCTTCACCTCACAGGTATCTCAGGGGTAATTGACAAGGCTGCCCTCCTGCCTCTGTAGCTCAGTTTTCTCCATAGCCTTCACAGCCTTAAGTTTTCTCCATAGCCAGATAATGGCTGGGCATGGTGGCTCACACTTGTAATCCCAGCACTTTGGGACACCAAAGCGGGCAGATGGTTTGAGTCCAGGAGTTCAAGACCAGCCTGGCCAACATGATCAAACCCTGTCTCCACAAAAACTACAAAAATTAGCCAGGCATAGTGGTGTGTGCCTGTGGTCCCAGCTATTTGGGAAGCTGAAGTGGGAGGATTGCTTGAGCCCAGGAGGTGGAGGCTACAGCAAGCTGTGATCACACCACTGCACTGCAGCCTGGGAACACAGCAAGACCCTGACTCAAAAAAAGGGGTGGGGTGGGGGCTGGGTGCAGTGCTTGTGCCTGCAATCTCAGCACTTTGGGAGGCTGAGACAGGCCAATCACGAGTTCAGGAGTTCAAGACCAGTCTGATCTACATGATGAATCCCCATCTCTACTAAAAATATAAAAATTAGCTGGGTGTGGTGGCGTGCACCTGTAATCCCAGCTACTCAGGAGGCTGAGGCAGGAGAATCACTTGAACCCTGGAGGTGGAGATTGCAATGAGCTGAGATGGCGCCATTCACTCCAGCCTGGGCAAGAGCAAGATTCCACTTCAAAAAAAAAAAAAAAAAAAAAGGATATGTACTTTGGGAGCCCTTTTTCACCTTTTCCAGAGTATGTCTCAGCCTCTCTCCACTCCAGCATTGTTGCCCCTTGGCCCCGCGCTCATGGAGTTTTTCCCAAGCAAGACGCTGGCACTGCTTTGTAAATGCTCATGTGGTCATTACACAGACACTTTCTCACTTCAGTTTTTAAAATTTCATTTTAAAAGTAATACAAGCATGCACAAGTTAAAAACGACTCCATACAAAAGTTTACACGATAAACACTGATTCTCCCTTCATTCACCTACATTTACCAATGGTCCCTTTCCCGTATTAAGGAGAGACCTGAGGTCAGGCTGGGTGGCTCACAGCTGAAATCCCAGCACTTTAGGAGGCCAAGTCCGGCAGGTCAGTTGAGGTCGGAAGTTCCAGACTAGCCTGGCTAACATGGTGAAACCTCATCTCTACTCAAAATACAAAAATTAGCTGGGCGTGGTGGCAGGTGCCTGTGATCCCAGCTACTCGGGAGGCTGAGGCAGGAGAATCACTTGAACCTGAGAAGTGGAAGTTGCAGTGAGCTGAGATCATGCCACTGCACTCCAGCCTGGGCAACAGAGCGAGACTGTCTCAAAAAAATTAAAAAAAAGGGAGTGGCCTGAAGGTGCCTCATATACTGATCAGAGACATTCACGTATGTAACAGTCTACACTCGGTGTCTGCTTTCTCTTTGCTTGTACTTAGCAATGTGTCCTGATACGTTTCATATGAAATTATATAGCAGTCTCTCATTTTTTTTTTCTTTTTTTGAGACGGAGTTTCGCTCTTGTTACCCAGGCTGGAGTGCAATGGTGCAATCTCGGCTCACCGCAACCTCCGCCTCCTGGGTTCAAGCGATTCTCCTGCCTCAGCCTCCTGAGTAGCTGGGATTACAGGCATGCACCACCAAGCCCAGCTGATTTTTTGTATTTTTAGTAGAGACGGGGTTTCACCGTGTTGACCAGGATGGTCTTGATCTCTTGACCTCGTGATCCACCCGCCTCGGCCTCCCAAAGTGCTGGGATTACAGGCGTGAGCCACCGTGCCCGGCCGCCTCTCATTATTTTTAATGGTTGCACAGCGATCGATTTTATGAATGTATAGACACTAGATGCAAATGAATACATACCAGTAACTCCATCTGCATAAAGTTCAGAAATAGGCAATACTAATATGTTTTCAAAATCCAGGCTAGAGGTCACCCCTGAGGAGGAACAGGTCAGAGACCAAGGCGTAGGAGTTGCCAGGGGGCTGGTCATGCTGTTAGGGAAACAGGAGCCTAGGAGAGACAGGGTGACACTGTTTTAAAATCAACTCCATCTTTTTTTTTTTTTTTTTTTTTGAGATAGGGTCTGGCTCTGTCACCCAGGCAGGAGTGCAGTGGCGTGATCTGGACTCACTGCAACCTCCACCTCCCAGGCTCAAGCCAACCTCCCACCTCAGCCTCTCAAGTAGCCGGGACTACAGGCACACAACATCATGCCTGGCTAATTTTTGTATTTTTTTTTTTTATAGAGACATGGTTTTGCAATGTTGTCCAGGCTAGTGTCAAACTCCTGGGCTCAAGCAATCCATCCATTTCGGCCTCCACAAATGCGGGAATTATGGGCCTGAGCTACCATGCCTGTCCCAACTCCATCTTTTCCTTTCTTTTTTTTTTTTTTTTGAGACACAGTCTCACTCTGTTGCCCAGTCTGGAGTGCAGTGGCACGATCTTGGCTCACTGCAACCTCTGCCTCCCGGGTTCAAGTGATTCTCCTGCCTCAGCCTCCTGAGTAGCCAGGATTACAGGCACATGCCACCATGCCTGGCTAATTTTTTGTATTTCTAGTAGAGATGGGGATTCACTATGTTAGCCAGGATGGTCTTGATCTCCTGACCTTGTGAGCTACCTTCCTCAGCCTCCCAAAGTGCTAGGATTACAGGTGTGAGCCACCGCACCCGACCCCAACTCCATCTTAAAACTAGCAAGGCACACTCCTTGCCGGTCCTGACCCATGGTAGTAAGATGCTATGGCTAAAAGGGCAGTTTAGTAATGCCTGCAAGGACAAACTCCTATCACAACAAAATGTCTAGATGCTCCAATACTGCCGAAAAATATACGATTTAAGATAGTTATAGTCAGGCCAGGCGCAGTGGCTCATGCCTGTAATCCCAGCACTTTGGGAAGTCAAGGGTGGATCACCAGGTCAGAAGATCGAGACCATCCTGGCCGACATGGTGAAACCCCTATCTCTACTAAAAATACAAAAAAAGTTAGCTGGGTGTAGTGGCACACACCTGTGGTCCCAGCTACTCGGGAGGCTAAGGCAGGAGGATAGCTTGAGCCTGGGAGGTGGAGGTTGCAGTGAGCCAAGATCGGGCAATTGCACTCCAGCTTGGGCAACAGGATGAGATCTTTTCTCAAAAAAAAAAAAAAAAAAAAAAAAAAAAAAAAATATATATATATATATATATATATATATATGAAAAGGGAGAGAGAGAAAGAGAGGAAGAGAAGGAGAGTCATGCTTTGATGTATTCATGCATCAAAATGCCAGGAATAACTTTCTTTAAATAAAAAAGCACTAAATTTTGTCATGCTGTCAGCCCACCCTCATGTAGACATAGCTTAGTTTTTGCATAGATAAGACCCCTACATAAGAGTTTAAAACAAAGAGGGTGTGTTCTCCCCTTGCTTTCTGAGAATTGCCTGCTCTGTAACTGAGTAACTTTCAATAAACAAGGCTTCTCACTGCACTCTGCAACTTGCCTTGAATTTCTTCTGGATAAGATCCAATAACCCTCTCTTGGGGGGGTCTGGATGGAGACCACTCTTTCAGCAACAATGTTTCCTGAACTCAGTGGTGATTATACAACTGTGTCCACATTTTAATCATTCATTGAAATATACATGTACACTTGTGAGTTCTGCACATTTCTGTATGACACTGTGCTTCAATTTTACAAATTTTAAGCTCACAACCCATTGGGAGAGATCTATATACAGAGAAGTAACAATGGATCAGTTTGATAAACAAACGTAGACCTTTACTATCTTGCACTCTTGCAGTAGCTGACTCCGGTGCCGCGGGGGGCTGCCTGCATGCCAATTCCCCGCCCAATAACCTTTGGCAGGTTACCAAAGTGTGAGGACCTCGACTGTAAAATGGGAATAATAATACAACTACCTGATATTGTTGCAAGGATTTAATATAACCAATGTAAAGTGGGCAGAAGTGCTCCGCAGGCACATAGCAGGTGCTCAATAAATGCCAGGACCAAAATACCACGAAACCGGAATTTTTATGAGGTAAAGGATCTTTTCTTCAGTGCTCAACGAGGAAATATTACGGCGCCGTTCGCGGTGGCTGACACTTGTAATCTCAACACTTTGGAAGGCCTAAGCGGGAGGACTGCTTAAGCTCAAGAGTTCGAGACTAGCCTGGGCAACATAGCGAGGCCTCTCTTCTCTACAAAAAAAAATTTTTTTTTTAATTAGCTGGCGTTGCTTGGTGGAAATATAGTAGCCAATGAGGTTTAGCCGAAACGCGATTATTGCTAATCGAGAGCTTTTCCCAATACCCCACCGTGACGATTTGCAGTAGAGTCAGCATTGGCAATTTTTGAGTCTCTACGAAAATTATCTCAGTTAAAAAAAAAAATGAAAAATAAAAAGAAATAAAAATTAGCTGAGGGCAGTGGCGCGCGCCTGCAGTCCCACCTACTCGGGAGGCTGATGCGGGAGGTTCGCTCGAATCCAAGGATTCCAGCCTGGGCGATAGAGCAAGACACCTTCTCTAGAAAAAAAGAAAAATACTTTGGGTGAAATATCCAGGGTTGGCCTCCTTGGAGAGAGCGCTCTCACGAAGGAGCGTGGCCCAAGGTGCTGGGGCGCGGGAAAGGCGCCTTCCTGGACTGGTGAATTTGCAGCTCCACCGACTCCCTCCGCGACCGCGAATCAGCCCACTGGCCCAGCTCCACTTTCTGCCGCCGCCGTCCCCTTTAAAACGGAGCCATGACATCATCCCCGACGCTGCGCAGCCTACCTTGGCAACGCCGCGACCACTTTTTCGGGGCGACCTCAATTGGCTGGCCAGCCTCCGGAGGCTCCGCCCCTTCACGCAGCCAGCCCCGGACGCCCGCTGTCAATCGGGCTAGGTGGGAGCGGTGATTGGCCGCGTGCCCCGCCCACCAGAAAGCCCCGCCGGGCTTGCGTAGGCTGCACGTTTGGGAGGGAGGGGCGCGGCGCCGCGTCTGGAATCGCAGCCGTCCGGGTCCTCCAGCCCGCCCGCCAGCCCTCCGGTCTATCCTGCAACCAGCCTGCTGGGCAGGGCCGGCGCGGCCTGGCCATGGAGTCCTACGACATCATCGCCAACCAGCCCGTGGTCATCGACAACGTGAGGCCCGGCAGCCAGGGGGAGGGCGGGCGCCCCTCCCCTGGGGGCGCCTGCGGCAGCGCAGGGAGGGACCCCCTCCGCCCGCCTTGGCGCGTCCTCCGCCCACTGCGCGGCCGTCGCCCCCGCTGGGCCGCTCGCTTCGCCTCGGGGGCGTGCGCTGTCTTGGCCCTGTAGGGCCGGCCTTGGGGCGAGCCCCTTCCCCGACCCCTTCCCAAGCCGGGCGGGGAAGTTCGGGAAAGCTTGAGTGACAGCAGGGCGGCCGGCCGGCCGGGAACGCGCCTCGAACCCTTCTCAGTTGAGAGTGCTGTCGCTGGGCGGGTTTCGACCCCAGTTCCTTTCCCAGTCCTTCGGCTCTGGCTCTGGCTACCTGACAGAGGTGGGGTGACATTTGTCCTTTACACACTGCTGGCTTCATCTTTGGGGCTGCACCCCGAGGCAACAAATTCACGTTACTGTCACCCACATGTCCACCACCATCTGGTTGCCTTTTGGCTACTTTGACTTTCTCCTTAAATGCTCCCTCTGCTGAGCAAACACCACACCAGCAGGGCAGTAGAGAGTACATGGCCACTCTTCCCAGTATCAGCAAGCAATTTGGGTGCTCGTTTGGAAGCCTCAGAGGAAAGATGTCAGGCTTCCTGTGGCTTTGTGCTTCAGCAGTGGGGCTCGGCTTGCTTTCAGCTGCCGTAGGAAGATTTCTGGCTTCCGAGCTCTGACATGGGGAGAAGATAAGGGCTGGGATCTTTGGGTCTGCCCCTAGCTGGATATCTATGCCTGGTGTGCGGGCCTTGGAGTTTTTGATAATGACTCACTTCTGCCCTTTTTGGGATCTGCCTCCCACATAACCCCGTGGGGTCTCTGAATGGCTGTTTTGGAGTACCCATGTGGGCTCCCTGAATCACAACAGGCGATGTTTAATAAGGAGGCTAATACAGAGGTTGGGGATGTGCTGTCACACCAGCAGGACGCTGCTGGAAGGAGCAGGCTTCTTTCGTTCTTGATGTGCAAATAACTCATATAGGCTAATCAACAGGCTATGAGTTCAAAAGGTTACCGTTGGCCCCTGAGAATTCCAGCCTTCCTCTGTAACTTGGAGATGTTTATTTCTGCTGCAGACTCAGAGAGTTGGGGTGAAGAGTGGTGGGGCTGAGTTGAGAAGCTGATCCCTTTGCTGGGTGGGAGGTTTCTAATTGCCACGTTCTTTTGGATATCCTTAAGTCCAGCTTCCAGGTGGGGGCAGCGATAGAACCAAGTTCTCCCAGCAGTCTCTGGGGAAGCCACTTGAGGGAAGCTGCCAGTCATCACATGCACCCATTGGTCTTCTCCAGCAGGCCCTGTAGGTGGTCCGTGTTCCATGCCTCCTGGGTTCTTGGGAGAGAGGAAAGCGTTGAAAATAATAATAATAATAATAATAAACACAGAGGGGTTTCTTCTTAATTTTATTATTAATATAATAATTTTTATATTAATATAAAATTTAATATTTAATAATATTAAATTATAATTTGAATTATAATTTTATAATTTATTATTAATAATAATAATAATAAACACACAGGGAGTAGCATGTGCTGTGGAATCCTCCTGCTGGAGCCAGCCCTTAGGTGTGCAGAGGAAGGTGTCCTTCATGGTTTCTCCATCCCTGTATTGGCATTCTGGGCTAGCTCATTGTTGGTAGTGCAGGCTGGCCTGTACATTGAAGAATGTGCAGCAGCAGCCCTGGCCTCTGCCCATTAGATGCCAACAGCATCCCTCACTCCATGTACCCTCTCCCCAGCTGCCAGACATTGCCAAGTTTTGCCAGGGGAGGAGGATGCAAAATTGCTCCCAGTCTTGAACCATTGGTGTACTTGTAAATGATCCTGGCAGGGTCCCTGGCTTCCTCCCTGGCCTTCCTTGGCGGAGCAGCCAGATCTCTCCATTGCAGGGCACAGGCTTCATCTGATGGTGCATGTTGGGGGGCTAAACTTTGTTTTTCCTTGCAGGGTTCGGGGGTGATCAAAGCTGGTTTTGCAGGAGACCAGATTCCCAAATACTGTTTCCCAAACTAGTAAGTGTGGCTCAGGCAGCAGCCCCAGCCCTTTTCTTTACTTTCTGTGAGAACATTGGCCTTCTGTCACAGCACTCTTTGAAGACAATTTTTGCCCTGACCAGTATGGAAAACACCAAATTTGTGAGGTTAACACTATTGGGAGAGCTCTGAAAGAACAACACAAGCATTCTAGGGTTCCCTTCTGTCTTTGGAGTCTCTCATTTTGGTCTTATTGAGCCAACAAGGAGGAAGAGCAACCAGCATTTCACTGGGGATGAGGTGTGTTAGCAGCAGCAAGAATAAAGGGAGATGCCTCCAAGGGGAACCCTAAACTCAGAGTAGGAAGAGTGAGGAGTTAGATACACAGCCACCCTTTCCTCCCTGGAAGTGTTTTTCTACAGGGCTTGTTTTCAGACTCCAGAAAATGTCTTTTTCAGTTAAGGGGGGAACCCTAGCCCTGTTTGGTACTGGTGAAGGTGGGAATAGGAGAGAAGTACAAACCCAGAGAGCCTGGGGTGCCCCTTGAACCCCCTGTGAGCCCATTGGGAAAGTTGCCCTTAGAAGCGTCTCTTCCCAAATCCTGGAGGCTTTGGGATGAATGGCCTAAAGGCAGGGGGCAGCAGGGGATCCTAGGCCCCCGAGTGGCAGGCTAGCCCAAGCCCGGCCTGGTCTGGGACAGAGCCAGCGCCCCTGTCGAGCTTCAGTGTTCCTTTCTGACTGTGTGGGTAATTAGAGGTTCCATTGCCTTTAGAGATAGTGCATCAGATCCTACAGTTTTCAAAAACTAAATCTCTGATCCAGAAGCCCTGGCAGTGGGAAGGGCGTCATTGACTGAGTGAGAGTGGGTACACAAGGGAGCCCTGACCCAGCTTCCTGGGGCTGTCCTCCCTCAGTCTGTAGACAGTGATGGCAGCCCTGCCCTGCCGAAGTCAGGAGCATGGTCTGCATCACTGGCTGCAGGAGGCTGACCCTCTGCCAGGGCTGGGCCATGGAGGGCTGGGTTCTGGTGCTCAGACATGCAGCTCTCTCACCAACTGTGCCTCCTGACCCTGAGCTTCTTGTCCTGCCCAGGCCCCCTCTCTAGTCCCAAACCCCATAAACCCCAGTTCCAATCTGTGCCCCCCAGCCACATCCTGGTGCTCCAGAGGCCAAGTACCCTCTGGGCAGCTGGGGTCGGACTTCGGTTTTTCTGGACACAAGCTCCACCCTGCTCTCTGCCCACCTTGCTGGTGTTATCTGTCCTCACAGTGTCGGGCGGCCCAAGCACATGCGGGTGATGGCCGGAGCCTTGGAGGGGGACCTCTTCATTGGACCAAAAGCAGAGGTAACACCACGGAGCCTGCCTTTCCCTGGCTATGGGATCCTCAGTTTCAGGGACATGACAGATGTCAGAGGCCGTATTCTTGGGCCTCTGCTGGTGCCCTCCCTAGCACCTCCTCCGGGTTCCAGCTGGGAAGTGCTGCACAGGGGCACCTCCCCTCTGAGATGGGGCAGTGGGTAGAGCTCACCGTGTCCTGTCTTTTAGAAGCTATTTGGAAGCTACAAAAGCAAGAACTGATTAAAAACTGATGTAAGAGTCAGAATCATACGCACTTGATGTCTGCTCTGTTGAGGGTCGTGGGGCCACCTCTTACATGGTAGCTGGGGTGGCCTGCCAAGGGCCCCACTGCCCAATCAAACCCTGAGGAGAGCATGTGCGGGTGTGGGGAGAACATCGAGCTGAGCTTGGGCTAGTATGGTTTAGGCACCTGAGGAGCATTTCGTGAAGTGCTGGGTCGCGGGGCATGGTTCAGGGCCCAGAAAGGAGAGGCCTGAGCTGGAGGTGCAGAGATAGGGGTCTTGCAGATGGGGTCCATAGGAGCCAAGGCGGTGAGAGGAGCTAAGTGGTGCCTGGTGAGAAGGGGCATACCTGGGGGACAGCAAAGGGCAGGTGGAGGCAGCGTGTGTTGGTGCATGCAGGAGACGTGAGGACTGTCCAAAGGGCTGAGGGAGAGGTGCAGGTCAGGGGGCACAGGTGGCCCAGGAGGGGCCATGTTGGATGGCTGCAAGGCACCGGTGCTGGCAGAGTGCGAGGAGAACGTGGGGGATGTGCCGGCAGTGAGAACGGGAAAAAAAAGGGCCTGTGGGTGCGAGTGGCACGCAGCCACCCTCTTTGATCCCTGCAGTTGAAGCTAGCTGGGCTCTGCGATCCTAAGAAGCTGTTGGGCAGATGAACTCACTGAGTTCAGGATCCCCTGCAGAGCCTGGGACACTCAGGGAGCCAGGGTGGTTCTGGTCAGGGCAGGTTGGGGAGCTTCCAGGGGGGCGGAAAGCAGCCACCGAGCAAGGCGCGGGTGCCACACCTCCCTTCCCACCCCGCCAGGAGCACCGGGGGCTGCTGACCATCCGCTACCCCATGGAGCACGGCGTGGTACGAGACTGGAACGACATGGAGCGCATCTGGCAGTACGTCTACTCCAAGGACCAACTGCAGACCTTCTCGGAGGAGGTGTGGCTGCTGCCCCTCCTGCACACTCCACATTCTCCTGGTTGTGCCCCTCTCCTCTGTGTCCCTCCTGGTCAGGCTCCCACATTTCCCCTCTGCATTTTGAGAGGGTCTGCTGCCTCCCAGGTGTGTCTGGGTGCACATGCATACCCAGTGGCTGCCAGGCAGAATCTTCCAGAGAGAGCCAGATCTCTGGAGGAGTAACTGCCGGCAGATAAAGGGATAGTGCCCTCAGGAGGGGTAGGAGGCTGAGCCGCCTATGCTCCAGCAGGTGTGGCTCTCTGGAAAGAGCCTTCTAGGGCTTTGCAAGTTGCCTCCTTGCATACCTACAACTGTCCTGTCCCTCTCAGCATCCTGTGCTCCTCACGGAGGCCCCGCTCAACCCCAGTAAGAACCGGGAGAAGGCAGCGGAGGTGTTCTTTGAGACCTTCAATGTGCCAGCCCTGTTTATCTCCATACAGGCTGTGCTTAGTCTGTGAGTAATCCCCAAGCCCTGGCTTCCCCGAGTCCCGTCCTTCCTGTGCTGTCCTCCTGCTTGCCATGACCGGGGTCTGACTTCCCTTGAAAAACAGCCCCTTGATGACTGTTCCTCTAGGAATTCCCTCATGTCCTTTCTTCAGACTAGATAATGCAGACGTGCCAGGGTTCCTCCCCTGGGTGAGGAGGTCCCCGTGCCTCAATGGCTGAGGTGAGGGGATGCTGACCTGGTGACAGGTACGCAACGGGACGCACGACAGGAGTGGTTCTAGATTCGGGGGACGGGGTCACTCACGCTGTGCCTATCTATGAGGGCTTTGCCATGCCACACTCCATCATGCGGGTGGACATTGCCGGCCGTGACGTTTCCCGCTTCCTCCGACTGCTGCTGCGCAAGGAAGGGGTTGACTTCCACACCTCAGCAGAGTTTGAGGTTGTCCGGACCATCAAAGAGGTGATGAGGGGCAGGAGGGCGTGGCTACCACCTGGGATGGGGAAAGGGTGGCACCAAGGCACAGGTGTCCCAGGTGCAGCTTTCTGAGGACCATGTCCCTGCCCTCGCAGCGAGCCTGCTACCTGTCCATCAACCCACAGAAGGACGAGGCTCTGGAGACGGAGAAGGTGCAGTACACCTTGCCAGACGGCAGCACACTCGACGTAAGTGACTGGGGCTAGCACTGGAGCAGCAGCCAATGCCCAGCCTAGGGGAAGGGATGGCCTGCTTCTCCAGGAAGCCTGTCTGCCTCACCCTTGTATACTAAAGGTTGGGCCTGCAAGATTCCGGGCCCCTGAGCTGCTCTTCCAGCCAGACCTTGTGGGGGATGAGAGTGAGGGGCTCCACGAGGTGCTGGCCTTCGCTATCCACAAGTCTGACATGGACCTGCGCCGGACACTGTTCGCCAACATTGTGCTTTCAGGTGGCTCAACGCTTTTCAAAGGTACTGTGGCTCGGGAGTTGGCAGTGGTGAGGTGAGGCTGAAGGCTCTGCACCCTCAGAGAGTGCACCCCCACCCAGAGCCATTTTCTATTGGCTTTACCCTGGATACTCCTTTGGTGGTGTTCAGTGAACTTTTTTTTTTTTAACATACCAATATTTAAAATTAAATTATGTTTACTCTGAATAGAGGAGTTTACACAGCTCTGAAGTGCATTGTGAGTGTTGAGCAAGGAGCACACGCAGCTTCATCTCAGCTGCCTGTGAGGACGCAGGGGCCGCAGGCAGCCATGGGGCCAGATCATTCTTTTGTTTTTTGAGACAGAGTCTCGCTCTGTCACCCAGGCTGGAGTTCAGTGGCACAATCTCGGCTCACTGCAACCTCCATCCCCCGGATTCAACTGATTCTTCTGCCTCAGCCTCCTGAGTAGCTGGGATTACAGGCTTGTGCCACTATGCCCAGCTAATTTTTGTATTTTTAGTAGAGATGGGGTTTCACCATCTTGGCCAGGCTGGTCTCAAACTGCTGACCTCGTGGGGGCTAGATCATTTCTCAGCCCTGCCCTTCATCTTGGGAAGAGCTGCTGAGAGAGGGCCAGCAGCAGCTGGGGCCCTGAAGGTCAGGTGTGGGGAGCTAGCAGTGAGGAGGCTGGGTGCAGACACCAGGCTCAGCCAGCCTTGTGTTCACAGGCTTCGGAGACCGATTACTCAGTGAAGTGAAGAAGCTTGCCCCAAAGGACGTCAAAATCAAGGTAAGGTTACAGAGATACCCCCTGGAGCGCTAGGGCGCTGGTAGCCTTGGGGAAGAGGGGTTGGGAGAGGGGTGGGTAGGGGGGAGGGGAAGGGGTTGGGGGTGGATGCCGCCTCCACACCCACTCTCTGGCTCAGGTCCACCCAGCCCTACTCCCTCCAGTGCCACTGCTGCCACTCCCCAGCTGATGCCTTTGCTGTCAGGTCTCAGGCCCTGGGGAAGGTCACCCCAAGGCTGGGACAGTGGCTTCTGGGTGGGGACCCACAGTTATGTGGCCACTTCCTCCCTCTAGATCTCGGCCCCGCAGGAACGGCTGTACTCCACGTGGATTGGGTGAGGCAGGGCTCAAGGGAGGGCTGTGGGAGGAGACCACTTTACCCTGGACACTCTTCCCGGGGTTGGCCCTGGCCTGGTGGAGGTTGGTGGATTTCCCTCTCAAATTAGGGAAATGGAACTCTGAGCGCCAGGAAAGGTGGTTGGCTCTCCGACAGGTCCACAGCAATGCTTACCCTCCATCCCCACAGTGGCTCCATCCTGGCCTCGCTGGACACTTTTAAGAAGATGTGGGTGTCCAAAAAGGAATATGAAGAGGATGGCTCCCGTGCCATTCATCGCAAAACCTTCTAGTGCCCAAGGAGAGTGGGCATATTGGGAGACAGGGAGGGAGGGGAGTCAGAGCCTTTAACCCTTTTTGGTCCGGGCTCATCTACTAGGCTTAGGGTCCCCTGCATGCCCTGAACCCCTGGGCAGGCGGGCACAGCAGTGTCCCCCTGCAGCCTTCCCCTCTACACACACACACACACACACACACACACACACACGTGTGTGTGTGGCATGTTCACATACACACGTGCGTGTGGCATGTTCACATGCACATGCACACACACAACATTGAGCTACATTGAGCTACACGGACAGGAGCCTTGAGCTGGCACATAGGAATTGAGTACCATGTCGGGCTGTTCTGGGTATCCCCCTGGCAGGGCCAGCTAGGCCTGTGGTTCCCTGCTCTGACACTCAGGGCTGCCTCCCTGAGCTCCCAGGGCCGGAATCCCTGGATGCCTGTGTAACCAGCTTTGGGGACTGGGTTGGAGAGGGCAGCCATCAGCTCCCACTGGTGTGTCAGTGCATCCATTGCTACCTCCTGTTCATGACCCAACAGGACAGCCCAGCTGCTTTCACCCTCTGTTCTCCCATCTTCCTGGGTAGATGCCCTGGTGTAGGGCTGAGTACTGAGTGGTCTTCCATCCCCAACAAGTGGATGCAGCCCAGAGTCAGGCCCTGCGGAGCCAGGGCAGAGGACGCACGGTGCCTGGAGCTGCTGCGTGTTCCCCTTCAGAGCACTTCATCGACTTGCTTCTCCCTCTCCTTTACCCTTGGGCAGGAAAGGGTTAATGCTTGTCATTTATTAAAGGGAAGCCACTCAATAAGGAGTCAGACCTAAAAGGGGGTGGGGGACATTTTCTTCTCTCACCTCTCCAAAGAAAGAGGTTATCACTTTTGCCGTGGCCAGGGGCCCACCTCCTTCTCTCAGATATGTACGATAATTTAACACAGTTGCCTGAAAAAAAAAACTTTTGTAAATCATTATAGTAATAATTATGGACAAGGCCCAGTGTGTGGTTCTATTTTCTTGTGGCTCTTTGTGCTGTTGTTTGCTCTTCCATCCCTGGAGACTTTCAGAGAAAGGACTAGAGAGAACACAGCATGGCATTGGCTCTAGCTCAGCAGCGTGAGGGTTTCAGTGGTTGGCCGAGCAACGTGGCACGGGAGGCCTCAGGAGACCAGGCTCTCCCCTTGGAGCATAATTCCCTCTCCTGTTACCCCACTGCTGCAGTCCACCAGGGGAAGCAGAACCAGGCTATCTTCTTTACCCCCAGGACCTTGGATGGGCCTGTTTGGGCACCTTTGCCCACACCATTCAGCCAGGGCTAAGGCTGGTGGACACCAGCAATGAGGAAGGCTCATCTGTTCATATAAGTCAGGATCAGACAAGTCAAGATGGGGAAGGCAGGAAGAGACAAAGAGTCTGTGAGCTTAGCCAGGCCCTAGAGGAAGAGGCAGAAGAGCAAGGAGACAAAGGGTGGAAGGAGGAGTGAGGAATTACGGTTTGGAGAATGTCTGATCTTTACTTTCTTAAGTGTTTAAGCACCTACAGCATGTCCAGGATAGTGCTGTGTGTTTGGAGCCAATGGTTGACAAGTTACATCCTTGCCCTAACAAACATACAGGTCAGGGGAGTAGGACAGATGGGCCGTTTTAGTACAGAGTTGTGGGGGCCAAGGCGACAGACATCTAGCCCAACAGGTGGGGCAGGCCGACTTGCAAGGGCCCAGAGGTTAGCCAGAGAGGGGGAAGGCATTCTATGCAGAGGTAAGAGCCCACAGAAGCACCTGTGCCCAGTGGGGCTGAAGAGAAAGGCATGGACCCATTGTCCAGTCAGCAGGGAAGGGTCAGTGGTCTCCTGTGGCCATCGTGTGAGATGAACCAAAAAGGTGGGTTGAGCTGGCATGTGGAAAATTGTTAGCTGTGTCCTGGGAGATGGGTGGCCAGCCATAGAAGGATGGTGACCAGGGCAGTGTGTTGTAGGCAGTTAAGATTTGTGGGGGCCAAGGGAGGGCCCAGAACTGAGGAGATGAGGTAGGAGTGGGGAGAGTACTGAGGCCTGTCTGCACAAGGCGTTTTGTGAGGCTTTGCGGTCACAGGGCAGTTATGCTTGCACCAGCCCTCAAAGGAAATGCAGAATTTACACCAAGAACTCTGTTAGGGCGCCCTCCAGAGGTCTTCCCATGGGGCTTTGTTCATGGCACCACTGGCTCCCTGCCTCCTAGGTTGGAGCCTTATCCCTCAACGCCTTTCTCTTCCCTATCTCTCCCACGCTGTCAATTACCAGGTCCTGTGTTTCCTCTGTGATACCTTTCCCACCAGTCCTTTCTTTTTCATTGCAGCCACTGCCACCGTAGCTTATGACCACAGCTTCATTCCCTGCCCACCCAATCTATTTGCTCCTGGAGCTAAAGCCCAGATAATCTTGGCTCTGGCACCTCCTCCAAATGTCAAGTGTTACTTCACTGCCTGGTGATGTGAAACAATTGATGTGATGCTGGTGAAATCATTTTTTTTTTTTTTTTTTTTTTTTTTTTGAGACGGAGTTTCACTCATGTTACCCAGGCTGGAGTGCAATGGCGCGATCTCGGCTCACCACAACCTCCGCCTCCTGGGTTCAGGCAATTCTCCTGCCTCAGCCTCCTGAGTAGCTGGGATTACAGACACGCACCACCATGCCCAGCTAATTTTTTGTATGTTTTTTAGTAGAGACGGGGTTTCACCATGTTGACCAGGATGGTCTCGATCTCTTGATCTCGTGATCCACCCGCCTCGGCCTCCCAAAGTGCTGGGATTACAGGCTTGAGCCACCGCGCCCGGCCCGTGAAATCATCTTAGTGAGCCACATGTTGTGTTTGACTCAGGCCCCTTGAGCTCTGTACCTTCCCTGTTTTAGGCTGACCCCCTCATGTCCTTTGCCTGCTAGCCTCCAGGCATGCTGTTCTCTCCATGGGAATGACCTTTGCTTGTGCCTGTCAAAATCTTATCCTTCAAGGCAAAGTGCCATCCTCTGTACCCCCTCTTCTGGCAGGTTAAAAATGTTCAGACTCTGCCAGCTTCTCGCTGTTGGAAAAAGTTACAGATGAGGAAGGTAGTACAGCTGGAATGAAGCCTGTGTTGGATCGGAGTTGGAGGTAATATGAACTCATGGTTTTAATATACATACAGATAGATACTGAAACACATCTCTTTGTGAGAGCCAGCATTAGAACACAGACATGCATTTCCTAGCCCTGTCTGCTGGGAAGGTCTGGAAGCAGTGACACCACAGTAGCAATGAGCACATAGTGGCCAAATCTTGGTTTCTAAATACCATTATGGGAAAAAGTTCTTCATTCTTTGTCAATAGTTTAATACCATTAGGGTGAGTCCTATGTTCTTCCTTGATGAGGGGAAATGGGCTCCATTTTCTAAGCTAAGCTCAGATAGAAGCCACTTCCACTCAAGAGCAAAGGTTTGCTCTTCCTAGTAGGGGACATTACATTTCCCCTGTGACAATTCCCTGGAACAGAAAAAAATAATAGATGAGCTTGGAATATTCTATGGTATGATAACATAAGGAAGTGAAAAAAGAAGGGGTTTGTCTAATGGACACAAGAACCAACTAAAAGGAGCATCCAATGCTCAAATCAGTAACATGATAAGTGTGTGAGTCATACTCATGCGAATAAGGAAGGCAGTGCAGCTGGAATGAAGCCTGTGTTGGATTGGAGTTGAAGGTAGTATGAACTCATGGTTTTAATATACATACAAATAGATACTGAAACACATTTGTGTGTGAGAGCCAGCATTAGAATATATACATGCATTTCCTAGCCCTGAATAAATATATACATGGGGGAGAAGGGACAGCTCTCCCTTAGGTAGAATTCCAATTAATGTCAAAGGAATTGTAGAAAAAGAAAGTCACCATTGAGCAAACACCACAGTAATTATTGTCGCAGGCAAGAATGGAGGAGACACAAATCAGTGGATAAAAGTAAGGACATTTGTGTTGTCTCAAAGTATGCCTCTACAAGATGCTTATTAATTAGAAAAGGAGAAATAGTAACTTTATGTTGGAGAAGCCTAGTCAATACTACCTTAACCAAATAATCATAGTATACATCTCAAATAATAAGTCATTGTCTCTCTTTTTTTTTTTTTTTTTTTTTTTTTTTTTTTTTTTAAAGAGACAGGATCTCTGTTGCTGAGGCTGGAATGGAATGTGGTGGCATGATCATGGATCACTGCAGCCTCCATCTGCTGGGCTTGAGGGATCCTCCAGCCTCAGCCTCCCAAGTTGCTGGGGCTACAGGCTTGCACCACCACACCCTGCTAGTTCGTTTTGTTGTTGTTGTTATGTTTTTAATAGAGATGGGGGTCTCACAATGTTGCCCTGGCTAGTCTTGAACTCCTGGCCTCAAGTACACCTCCTGCCTCAGCCTCCCAAAGCACTGGAATTACAGGCATGAGCTGAGTCCAGCCATAAGTCATTTTTTTTTTTTTTTTCCCTGAGATGGAGTCACTGTTGCCCAGGCTGGAGTGCAGTGGTGAGATCTCCGCTCACTGCAACCTCTGCCTCGCAGGTTCAAGCAATTCTGCCTCAGCCTCCCAAGTAGCTGGGATTATAGGCACACACCACCACACCTGGCTAATTTTTGTATTTTTAGTAGAAATGGGGTTTCACCATGTTGGCCAGGCTGGTTCTTGAACTCCTGACCTTAAGTGATTTGCCTGACTGAGCCTCCCAAAATGCTGGGATTACAGGCATGAGCCACCACACCCAGTAATCAGTCATAGTCTCTTAATGATGCACTAAGAGGGGCCCAATTTCGCCTGTGGTATTCTTGTATCACTTCAATCTAACCAGGAGCAAGCAGCAGGCAAACCCAAACTGAGGGTGGTCTACAAATGAATAGAGTTGTCTTGTTCAAAAGTGGCAGGTCATGGGACAAGGAAAGACCAAGTGCAATGTGAGATCCTGGGTTGGAAAAAGACCTTACCAGGAAAACCAGCAAAATTCTGATAAGGTCTGCTGGTTAGTCCATAGTACTGCATCAGTGTTAATTTCCTGGTTTCGGCCGGGCGTGGTGGCTCAAGCCTGTAATCCCAGCACTTTGGGAGGCCGAGGTGGGTGGATCACGAGGTCAAGAGATCGAGACCATCCTGGTCAACATGGTGAAACCCCGTCTCTACTAAAATTACAAAAAATTAGCTGGGCATGGTGGCGTGTGCCTGTAATCCCAGCTACTCAGGAGGCTGAGGCAGGAGAATTGCCTGAACCCAGGAGGCGGAGGTTGTGGTGAGCCGAGATCGCGCCATTGCACTCCAGCCTGGGTAACAAGAGCGAAACTCCATCTCAAAAAAAAAAAAAAAAAAAAATTTCCTGGTTTCAATAATTATACTACGGTAATGCCAGACGTTAACATTAAGGAAAACAGTAAAGAGTAAACAGGAACTCTGTACTATTTTTTGCAATTTTTCTCTAAGTCTAAAATTATTTTAAAATAGAAAATTGGGCTGGGTGTGGTGGTACATACCTGTAATCCCAGCACTTCGGGAGGCCGAGGCAGCAGGATTGCTTGAGCTCAGGATTTTGAGGTTGCAGTAAGCTATGAACACCACTGCACTCCAGCCTGGGTGATGGAGACCCTGTTTAAAAAAAAATAAAAAATTTAAAAGTTGGGGTGGGGGAAAGAGCTCAGGGTCTGGAGCTATGGTCTGGGTTCACAATCTTGCCACCAGAAACTGCTGTGTATTCCTGAGCTGTCCTCAGACTTCCCATCTCCATTATGGGGTGGTAATAATAGCACCTTCCTCATGGGTTTATTCACAGCCTGGAAGCTGTGCCTGGAACATTTTATTCCAGAAAATAAAAATAAATGCTCAAAGAATGATAGGGGCATGTCAAAGGACCACAGAAGCCAGCTTGAAGAGGTTCCCACTGACCAAATTTGCAAAAAATTAAACATCAAAAAATAATGATAGACATGGGTTATAATCCACTGAATAAAATAAGAAAGCATGAATCCATACTGTTAAGTTAGTAAGTTGAAAGTTTGATGAGGAACAAGGTGTTAACATTTTTTTTTTTTTAGTGGAGTCTTGCCCTGTTGTCCAGGCTGGAGTACAGTGGTGTGATCTAGGCTCACTGCAACTCCGCCTCCTGGGTTTCAGCAATTCTCCTGCCTAGCCTCCCAAGTAGCTGGGATTATAGGCACCCACTACCATGCCCAGCTAATTTTTGTATTTTTAGTAGAGATGGGGTTTCATCATGTTGACCAAGCTGGTCTTGAACTCCTGACCTCAGATGATCTGCCCACCTTGGCCTCCCAAAGTGCTGGGATTAGAGGCATGAGCCACCTAACACGGCCAGTATTGACATTTCTAAGTATTGCGCCATAAGATACTTCATAATTAAAGAGCAACAAAACAAAAATAAAGAGCAACTTCACAATGGAGGAGTTTGGCAGACATTAGCTTCATCAAGTGACCGAAGTGAACCTCCTCAGCAGTGGACAAGTCGGCATCATGTGCCTCCCGGAAGGATGCAGCATCCCTTGCCCACAATGCATAACCCAAATCCAGTGTGAGCAAACTCAAGTTGCTGATATAGTTCTCAAAATGTCAGCAGAGTCAAGGAAAGAAAGGAACTTTTCCAGAAGGAACTACTAAGGGCAACACATGATTCCAAGCTGGGTCCTTTTGCTATAGAAGACATTATTGGATCTTTAAGCAAAACTTGAATGAGTCTGAAGATTAGATGGTAGAAATATACAAATTGTACTTTCCTGATTTTGATAGTCATGTTGTGGGTATTAAGAGAATGCAAGAAATACACGTGTGTGGTGGGACATCAGATCAACTTACTTTCAAATGGCCCTGGGAAAAAGTTCTTCATTGTATACTTGGAGAGTTTAATAAGTACAGTTAGAGTGAGGCCTATATTCTTGGTTAAGTGGAGATGGCATCCAATTTAAGCTAAGTGGCCAAAGGTTCAAATGGAGCCCACTTATACCCAAGAGCAAAAGTTTTGTCCTCCTAGTGGGGAACATTGTATTTCCTCCCTATCACTACGGTTCCCAGTTACTATGAGGGAAGGAAGCAAGCTATTTCATATTGTTAGCCTAAAGCAGTTCTCAGCCTTGCTGGGAGGCACATGGAGAACTTCAGACTTCTGAAGCCTGGGTCCCACCGCAAGATACTGTTTTTTTGGTCTGGAGTGCAGTGGCATGCTCATAGCTTTCTGAAGCCCCAACCTCCTGGGTTCAAGTGGTCCTCCCACCTAAGCCTCCCAAAGTGTTGGGGTTTACAGGCATGAGCTGCCATGCCTAGCCTATTTTTCTTTACAAGTAAATTAGTTAAAATTTTAAAAAGAGAGAAAAGCATAGACTTGGAGATGAGGTAGGGAGAAAACAGACTGGATTAATGATAGGGGACTCAAAAGTCCCCCTCAGCAGTTTTGAGTTGGAAGACATATGGAAAGGGAAAGGCAGACCAGCCATACAGGAGGGCTTAGTGACAGCACAGACTAGTCTTCAGGAAGGTGGAATTGTAGGGGTTAGATTTCACAGGTGGTTATCTGAGAGCTCCCCTTCCCAGAGGAAAGGGCCTCAAATGGCAAATCAGTGCTTGGGCATTATCCGGAAACAGAGGTCACCAACAAGGATGAAAGCAATAGCTTTGACTGCACCTTCAAGATGGGTAAGATGAGGGGAATGGGCTTTCCTTTGACACTCCTATCAGCTCCCACTGAAATACCCAGTTTGTACCAATTTTGTGAATATAGTCACTGAAGCCACCTCTGACTAATCTCCACACAAAATGAAAAGGATTTCCATTTTGTAGATAAGAGGTTTTTGAGACTTTAACTTGTCCCAAGGTGTCACAGGTATAAAGTAGCTGAAGTGGGCTTTTTTGGCATTTCTCCCCTCCCTTACTCCCATGTGTATCTCTAAAGCATTAAAAAAAAAAAAAAAAAACTATATAAATACCTGTAAGTGTAAAAAATGTCTACATATCAAATATCCAGAGTTCAAATTCTGAATTTTTTTCCCCACATAATTATTTTCAAATCAGATCCAAACAGGGCCTGCTCACTGCTGTTATGATATCTCCCTTCTCTGTTTCGCTACATGTTCTCCCTACCTTTTCCCTCTGCTCCTTGCAATTTATTTGAAGAAACATGCTCAGTGATTTCTGAAATTGTTCCATATTCTGAATTTTGCTGCTGGTATCCCCATGAATTCTTATTTTGTACCTGGGTCCCTCAAGACTTCAAAATCCCCAACACTCTCTTCACAAGGCTACCCTGCCTCTATGATGATACTATGAAGATCTACCATCTGCTAGGCTCTTTACATATTAAGCACCTCACAAGGCATTTACCTTTTTTGTAGTTGTACCTGACCTCCAGAGAACATGTCCACAGGGGTAGAGCCAAATGATGGAGCCAATATTGTAGGTCTGGTCAGCCTGACTCCACAGCCCACCCCTTTCCCTCATACCACGTGGTCCCATTCATTGCATCATGGTTTGTCAATCCATTCTTATTATTAATCTAAGCACTATACACTGGTCATCCACTTTCAGTAAGTGATGGCAAGCTAGCATTAACAGATAGCTATTCCCAAAATAACAATATTCCATGCCTACCAAAAAATACAAGAAATAGATAAGAACAGCCGTCTATGGGAGAAGCCAATGCAATGGCTAGTCTTTATTGGAAAGAAGTTTTATATCATATTTTGAGTAACTCAGTGCAGGCGCTCAGTGTGCCAGCTCGTGGGGCACCAGCTTGTAATAGGCTCCACAGCTAGGGCATCGCTGGGCCTCGCCTTTGTGCAACCAAAACCAGATGATGGTACTGTTGTCCTCTTCACCTAAAAGGGAAAAAAGGTGGTTCAGTCATTCGGTATAGAAAGGGTGACTTTCAGCATGAATTTGTTTTCCTCAGCCACCTCTGATACACAAGACGGACTATGGTCAAGAGATCAGTTCAAGCCCTCCTCCCATTATTCAGATGAAGAAATTGAGGCTCTGAGTCCACCTATAAGTAAAATGACCTTATATCAGGGTCACGGTAAATTCTTTTTTTTTCCGTCTTGCCCTGTCACCCAGGCCGGAGTGCAGTGGTGCCATCTCTGCTCACTGCAACCTCCACCTCCCAGGTTCAAGTGATTCTCCTACCTCAGCCTCCCAAGTAGCTTGGATTACAGGTGTGCACCACCACGCCCGGCTAATTTTTTGTATTTTTAGTAGAGACCGGGTTGTTCTGGATCTCCTGACCTCATGATCTGCTCGCCTCGCCCTCCCAAAGTGCTGGGATTACAGGTGTGAGCCACAGCACCCAGCCAAGGCTCACTGTAAATTCTAACAATTCCCTTGCCCATGTAGAACACAAAGGAGGGTCCATTCTGGTATGTAGCCCTTCTGTCTAAAACAATGCCTGGCATAGAAGCAGTATAACAATAAATATTTGCTGGGTGGATACTACTTCATGCCACACTTCCACTGAGCCAGTCTTTCCACTATGCTGCGCTTTCCAGTAAGGATGAACTATCAGGCATAATGAGGCTTGAACAAGACCCATAGAGAAACTCATTTACAAACATTTATTCACACACTAAAAGATTTGAAGCAGCTTATAGACTCCTGTATTGTGGGATATATATTAAGTGGATAAAGAAATAGAGGTGAGGTACTTACAGATACAGCCCACTATTCTCTTGTTGGTGACAGAAGGGACTAAATTAGGGTCTTCCTTAGTGCCTGAAGCTCCCTTTGGGGGCAGTATATTGTATGGGTCCTGGAAAAAAAAAAAAAAAAAAAAAGAATTGAACCGTTATGCCAAATAAGCCCTACCTTCCAGAAGCTCAGGGTGTTCCTACAAGCCAAGTTCCCTGGATGAAATACTCCCAGAGAGGAGACTACTATGAACACATACAAGACCATAAGCTCCACGGAAGACACAGAAGGGAGTTTCTCACCAGTCCCTTTCTTGCAGCCAACATGATCTCCCTCTCCAACCCAGTCGCCTGGTCGTCATCACTAGGAATACCACCTAAAGCAAGATACGTGAATTATGATGCTGACTGAAATGACTGATAGAAAAATTACGAACAGAAATGATCAAGAAGAAAAATGCCACACTGAAACTTCTGCATACGTTTTAGTGAGCGCATAAGCTCCTAAAGGCTACTCATATCCATGGTCCCCAAAGAACCACCAAGTCATGATCCACACAAGCGGCAGCACTTGGGGGAGCTTCTTTTCTTTTTTCTTTTTTTTGAGATGGAGTTTCGCTCTCGTTGCCCAGGCTCTAGTGCAATGGCACGTTGTCGGCTCACTGGAACCTCTGCCTCCTGGGTTTAAGCAATTTGCCTGCCTCAGCCTCCTGAGTAGCTGGGATTACAGGAGCGCGCCACCACGACCGGCAATTTTTTTTTTTTTTTTTTTTAAGAGGGAGTTTCGCTCTTGTTGCCCAGGCTGGAGTGCAGTGCTACGATTTCGGCTCACCGCAACCTCCGCCTCCCGGGTTCAAGCAATTCTCCTGCCTCAGCCTCTCGAGTAACTGGGATTACAGGCGCCCGCCACCACGCCCGGTCAATTTTCGTATTTTTGGTAGAGACGGGGTTTCCTATCATCTTGACCAGGCTGGCCTCGATCTCCCAACCGCAGATGATCCGTCCGCCTCGGCCTCCCAAAGTGCCGGGATTACAGGCGTGAGCCACCATGCCCGGCCCAATTTTCTTTTTTTTGAGACGGAGTTTCGCTCTTGTTACCCAGGCTGGAGTGCAATGGCGCGATCTCGGCTCACCGCAACCTCCGCCTCCTGGGTTCAGGCAATTCTCCTGCCTCAGCCTCCTGAGTAGCTGGGATTACAGGCACACGCCACCATGCCCAGCTAATTTTTTGTAGTTTTTAGTAGAAACGGGGTTTCACCATGTTGACCAGGATGGTCTTGATCTCTTGACCTTGTGATCCACCCGCCTCGGCCTCCCAAAGTGCTGAGATTACAGGCGTGAGCCACCGCGCCCGGCCAATTTTCGTATTTTTAATAGAGACGGGGTTTCATCATGTTGTTCAGGCTTGTCTCGAACTCCTGATCTCAGGTGATCCGCCCGCCTCGGCCTCCCAAGGTGCTGGGATTACAGGCGTGAGCGCCCAGCGTAGGAGCCTTTCCTTCTCCAACCACCGAGGCCAATTTGTCTACAAGCAAATGAGAACCCACTCGGTTTGAGGTGGGCGCAGGTTTAAAGGGCGGCCGGACCCCTCCCCAACCCAGTCGCAGTCCCCGCCCCTCCCAAGGTCACCCGGCACCTCCGTTTAGGATACTTTCGCAGTGGAGTCAGTTCAGAGGGCGGCAGGAGCAGCGGCCCGGAATTACAGGAAGATGCCTGCAGAGCCTGAGGCACTCCGGACCGTAAGCGGTCATTGGGACCTGGAGTAGCTGCACAGCACGCCCCGCTTTGCCGCCCTGGGACCACTCCGGGAGGGCAATACTCTGGTCCCTGGCACGCCTGGGAAGCCGAGTACCTCGAGAGCCCATGGAGCGCACTGCGGCCGCACCATTGGGACCGCAAGCCCTCAAGGCCTGCGCGGCCAGCCCTCCAGCTCCGCGAAGTAACCTTGAAGCCATCGCGTCCGCGACAATCAGCAGCACTTCCGGAAACAGGCAGCAGAGACAGGCGAGACTTCCGGGGGCGGGCTTCTTTCTCCTCCCGGTCGGCTTTCCGCTTCTTCCCCGCCCTCGGACCCGCCCACTCCCGCCACGGTGGCGGGGGCGGAAACTGCGCATGCGTGACTCTGCCTCCCCCTGCACCTCACAGTAGCTGAGGCTTGAGGGCGGGTTTGCTGTTTAGTAACGCTGGGAGGTGAGCAAGTTGTTTGGGTGCCTGGAGCTCAGCGGCTAAACCACATTGGAGTTCCTGTGTATCTGGCCTGGTAGTCGTGTTCAGCAAACGTGGAGGCTACTGATGGGAGTCATTAAGTCCCCGCCTGTCAAGAGACTTACTGGACCCCAAATGATTTGAATTTGAAAGTGGGCTCCTAAAGATCTCTGCGTTCCTTGCTAGGCTGGTTAGTGGCAAGACTGGTTCTCCCGGCAGTGCGTGAGCCGTCGCGAGCGTGTCGCATTGGACGGGACCTACCGGTAGTCCTGGCCCAGTTTCCTGTTAGAGTTGTACTGTGGGGGTGTAGGCGCCGGGGTCCCTGCCGGATCTCGGCCTAGGGAGGAGGACAGGACGGGGGCAGGACCTCTCCCAGGACCAAGAGCCTGGTGATATGAAGAAGGCCACTCTTCGAGGCTGCTAGGGGAGGAGGAGTAAAAAGGGGAGTTGATAATGGGAAATGGAGTCAGATCCTGCTGTGACTGGAATTCCCTGTTTGAAATGGAAAACATCTTCCGTCCATAGCTTCCCGTTGCCCCACAGGCTAAGATGTGCAAATTTCTTATGATGAGCTTTAGGCAGTGTAGCCCTGTGACAGGCTAGCTGCATGTGGTATCAGAGTTTCCCTACCAGATAGAAAAATCGCTTTAGAGTGGAATTAGCTCATCACTGAATTTTCAATGCCTTGCAGAGGTCTGGTATATAGTAGGATCCAGTAATTTTAGTAAATTTACTACTTGGATAGACTATACAAAACCAGTTTATAGGGCTTCTCCTGGCCCAGTGAGGTCAATTGGAAGCAAACTGGGTATAGTTGAAGGCTCAGATACTCCCGCTTGTCTCATGCAGGCTATGATATTTTCAAAAGGACGTGGTGGAGCATTGCCTCCCAGGAGCCCCGTCTGGTCTTCATGGGTGCCCCCTCCACCAATTAAAAAAAACCAAATACCTGTATTCTGATACAAAAACCACCTTTAAAGGCCAACATTTCCTTTAAAGGTGGTTTTTGCTTTGAATGGCTTCACTGTTACTCCCTTCTCCCTCCCCTCCATTGCAACGTCTCCAAATTGAATCGAGGGAAAAAATTCTGAGCAATGTTCCCCAAGGACCTGTAGTTAATTTGCAACTGTGTTTAGGTGTTTGGCAGGAGAAAAAAGCATTGGTCTGGAAAGTAGCCCCACCAGCTAGTTCAGCCAGTCGCTTTTTCTCCTTTGGGCCACCATTTCTACATCAGTAAAACTCGTTCAACTAAGTTAGTATTTCCCAACCGTATTCCATGGCATCCAAGTCTCAAGATATGATCTTAAGAAAAAGGGCTTGGTCAAGACAGGGAAGTCCCGTATTTCATGACCACCATTTTGGAGCTGCACGAGCATAATCAAGGCTCTGATTAGGCTTGCAACAAAGACCTCTTGTTTAATTTACCTGCAGTTTAAGCCAGAGTTTCCCTATCTTAATTGACCACAAAACCCTTTCCTGAGGAACACCTACTAACTTGCCCCTCAGCAAACCAGTGATATATTCAGCTCTGATGTGTTATGATTCCCAGCTGCCTGACCAGAAATGGTTTACTCCAGGCTGTAAGATGGAAACTGACTTTAGGCTTGTTTCTCACTCTCATTGTAGGTTTGCCTAATAGTAGGAAATTTTTGCAGGCCTTTGTCTAACTCAGGAAAACCTCAGCCTCACTCTGGGATTATTTAGACTGTGTGAGTGAGCTCCAAGTTCAGGGCCAGGCTCCCCAGATGTCCCCACGCATCCCCTGCTGCTTCCAGCTCCCACCACTCTCCACTCAAACCCTGTCCCTCAGGTTTCCTTGAGAAACAGTTTGGCTTGCGGAACCGTCTGCCACCTCTGCTCCATCATTGTCTTTGCCAGCACAATAAACTTACTGAGTATTCTTTTATAGGCTAATTTTTGGTTGTCAAAATAAATATACATGGTAGGTCAAACAGCACAGATATGTAAGGAAAAAGCTAGCAGTTTTGTGCTTATCCTTTTTTTCGTTACCTATATCAGGTTTTCTCAACCTCAGCACAACTGACATCTTGGGTTGATAATTATTTGCAGGGAGGTTGTGCATTGTAGGATTTAACCTTATGTCATTAGCACTTCCCCGACATGATAACCAAAAATATCTTCAGCCATTGCCACATGCCCCCTGGATTTGCAAAATCCCCATTGAGCATCACTGCATATATGAATATAAAATATAAAAACATATAAGTACTATACAAATTATTAGTAAGTTTCTTCCTTCATTAAAATTATTTTGTAGATATCCCCCCAGATCAATACATCTAGACCTTAACTTATGTAATGGCTACAGAATATTCCTTACTGTCAATGTACTATAATGTACCCAGCCATTCTCCCTTGTGAATATTCCTATGGCTTCCAGTTTTTTGCCTCTCAAACAATGCAACAGTACACGTCTTTGTACATACAACTTTATATTCCAGACGTTTTGTTTCTGAGGAGTAGGGTCAAAGGGTGTTTGCGCTAAACATTTTAGTAATACATTCTGCCAGATTGCTTTCCCAAAGTTTGGAGCAATTGATGCTCACACCAGCAGGGCATGTGAGTGCCAGTCTCCACCTCCAAGCCTTTGCAAATTTAGCCCACCAGGTGAAGGAAAAATGAGTGCTGTTAGTGCTCCTGGTGTTTACATTTCAGTTCCCTGACCTCCAAGGCAGTTGAACATCTTTTTAGATGTTTACTGATCATTTACACTTCCTCGGGGATGTGAACTGGGCTTAACCACTCAGGCACACTATTTTTTTTTTTTTTTTTTGAGAGAGAGTCTTGCTCTGTTGCCAGTCTGGAGTGCAGTGGCACAATCTCAGCTCATTGCAACCTCCGCCTCCCAGGTTCAAGCAATTCTCCTGCCTCAGCCTCCAAAGTAGCTGGGACTACAGGTGCGTGCCACCACGCCCAGATAATTTTTGTATTTTTAGTGGAGACAGGGTTTCACCATGTTGGCCAGGATGGTCTTGATCTCCTGACCTCATGATCCGCTTGCCTCAGCCTCCCAAAATGCTAGGATTACAGGCGTGAGCCACCGCACCCAGCCTTAGGCACACTATTTAACCTCTTTCTGCCTTAGTTTCATTTTCTTTCATTTTAAAAAAGAATATATTATTTTGGTTGTTGAGACTGAGTCTTGCTATGTTGCCCAGGCCGATATCAAACTTCTGGCCTCAAGAAATCCTCCTGCCTCCCTCTTCCAAAGTGCTGGGATTACAAACGTGAACCCCCATACCCCAGGAGTTCAAGACCAGCCTAGACAACAGAAGGAGACCCCCATCTCTATGTAAATTTTAAAAATTAGCCAGGCATGGTGGCATCTGGCTGTAGTCCTAGGTACTCAGGAGGCTGAGGCAGGAGGATCATTTGAGCCCAGAATTTGAGACCACAATGACCTATGATTTTGCCACAATAGCCTATGATTGTATACCACTGTACTCCAGCCTGGGCAACAGAGCAAGACCCTGTCTCTAAAAATAAAAAATTTAAAAAAAAAAAAGGCAGATAAAGATTTGAAAAGGTGTTTTTCCAAAGAAGACATACAAATGGCCAGTAGGGCCAGGTATGGTAGCTCACACCTGTAATCCCAGTACTTTGGAAGGCCAAGGCAGGTGGATTGCTTGAGCTCAGGAGTTTGAAACCAGTCTGGGCAACACAGTGAAACCCCATCTCTATTAAAAAAAAAATAATACTTTTTTTAAATGGCCAATAAGCACATGGAAATATGGTCAACATCATTCATCATCAGAGAAATGCAAATCAAAATCACAATGAGGCACCACTTTATATCCACTAAAATGGCTAAAATAAAAAAGACAGATAAGGCCAAGTGCCATGGCTCATGCCTATAATCCAAGCACTCTGAGAGACCCAGGTGGGCAGATGGGTTGAGCCTAGGAGTTCGAGACCAGCCTGGGCAAACAGCAAGACCCCATCTCTACAAAAAATACAAAAAGTAGTTAGGTGGGATGGCATGCACCTGTGGTCACAGCTACTTAGGAAGCTGAGGTGGGAGGGTCACCTTCGCCCTGGAAGGTTGAGGCTGTAGTGGATCATAGTCACGATCATGCCACTGCATTCCAGCCTCGGTGACACAGTGAGACCCTGTCAAAAAAAAAAAAAAGACAATAAATGTTAACAAAGATATAGGGGTAATCAGATCCTCATACACTGCTGATGGAAATATAAAATCATGTTGCTGTTTTGGAAAATAACTTGGCACCTCTTTAAAAAGTTCAACATTGGCCGGGTGCAGTGGCTCATGCCTGTAATCCCAGCACTTTGGGAGGCGGAGGCAGGCAGATCACCTGAGGTTGGTAGTTCGAGACCAGCCTGGCGGTGAGCCAAAATTGCGCCATTGCACTCCAATCTGAGCAACAAGAGCAAAACTCCATCTAAAAACAAAAAAATAGTTCAAAGCATTGATCTATCATGCGACCCAGCAGTTCCACTCCTAGGCATATGTAGGAGAGAACTGAAAATGTCTTCACACAGAAACCTGTACACAAATATTTATAGCAGCATAATTCACAATAGCCTAAATGTGGGAATGAATGACCCAAAGGTTTATCAATTGATGGATAGATAAACAAAACATGAAACAACCATACAATGGAATATGATTCAGCCATAAAAAGGAATGAAATACTATGTGCGACAACATAGATAAGCCTTAAAAACATTACAGTAAATTGAAGAAGCCAGACACAAAAGACTACATATTGTAGAGTTCCTTTTATTTTTATTTTTAATTATTTTATTTTATTTGAGACAGGATCTTACTTTGTCGCTCAGGCTGGAGTCCTGCAGCCTCAACCTCCTGGGCTCAAGTAATCCTCCTGCCTCAATCCCCCAAGTAGCTGGGACTACAGGCATGCACCACCATGCCCAGCCAAATTTTGTACTTTTTGTGCAGAATGGGGTTTCATCATGCTGCCCAGGCTGGTCTTGAACTCATGAGTTCAAGCGATCTGCTCACCTGGACTTCCCAAAGTGTTGACATTACAGGTATAAGCCACTGTACTTGGCTAAACGATTCCTTTTATACAAAATTCATAGAGCTAGAAAGTAGATTCATGGTTGCCAGGGCCTGGGGGAGAGGGATGGAGAGTGGCTGCTGATAGGTACAGGCATTCTTATCTGAG